GACATCATCAGATTGATGCTGCATACATCTTTCAAATCTTGTAATCATTCGTCTTTACCAGGGAAGTGATATATTTTACTGGGTGACTGATTCAAGAGTAATGATTTTTGTCATTGCCTCTTGTATATCCCCTGATAGCTTTGGGGTCAGGGGATTGGCTTAGTCATGCTGTTTTCATTTATTGTTGCAGTGTTCCCTCGCCACTGTCCTTCCTTCTCACTTTTCCTTCCTAGACTCCTTTTCTAATTCTCATCTCTTTCTTAACTAATCACCCCATCCTTGCTTTTTCTCATTTTATTCAGAGTATGAAATGGAAATCACATAATGATGTTTACTTCATAAATTTAGGAATTATAATATCTGGTCGTGTTGAACCTGAACATTTATGTGAATTATTTACAGAATAGAAATGTCATAGGTATAATCATATTTTAGCACCTCTTGATCTATGTATTAGGAACTAGTTCAAATTTTTGCATAAGGCTGTGAGACTTCCTGTAAAGTGAAATCACTTAGAATTCTTAGAAAAGAATAGATTGAAATGGACAAGAATATCTGGCAAACCAGCTTCGATTTTACGTGAGCTGTGACTTGCGAACATCTTTAATATCTAGGTACTCTCCTTTTCTTTAGTAAGTTTACTTATGCAAGTATCTCATCCATCAAAATGCCTCATTTTTTCTTCATGAGCTCTGAGCACACTGAACTGTAAAATTAAACCGCATTTCCTCGTTTGAAATTGCTAAACTTCCTCCTCTGGACTTTCCAGTGATGAACTACCAGGAGAAGAGTCAGAATGAATAAGCAAAGAGGGTATTGAATACTTTTTTTAAAAGGGTGTGTCTAAAATATGAGCAACTAGTCCGAGGAGGAAGGGCTGATGGGTTAATGTGTGTGGTGAGACATTGGTCTCTGGATTTCCAGCATTGCCAAATTTGTCTAATACAAATGTCCTTGAGATTAGAACTATGTACTTAACAGGATTATTTAAGACTGCAATTATTACTACCAAACAGACCCATGAAAGCATTATTTTTATTTATTTCAACTGTGTCTACCATGGTTACATTATAACCTGATCCTGGTTATGCTATCTAATAAGTATTGTTTAATATATAATATAAATATGTAGTTCAGTGGTTCTCAACCCTGGCTGCACATTAAAATCACATAGGGAACTTAAAAACACATACACACCAGAGACTGGGCCCCTCACCAGCCCAGTAAAATCAGAATATTTTGGGTAGGGCTTGGGCATCCATGTTCTTTTAAAAGCTCCCCTGATGATTCTAATGCACAGCCAGAGTTGAGAACTACTGGTTTAATGGAATAAGCATATATCATTTGTTGTAATCTGCACTCGTTGGAGAATTTTTTTCTCTTAATTTTTTAGTGATTTGAAAATAGATGTGCTTTTGCAAGGAAATTGAATTTTCATAGCAAGATTTCCTGTAAAGGAGTTTCTTATCTAAGCTGAAACCTTTTAAGTGTACTTTTGAGAAGGTCTCTCCCAGCATCCTTATAATCTTGAAAGAAAAAAATATTTCTCAAGATATTGACGCGTTGCATTCCAGAAGTTTTTGAGTCATGTGCATGATGAAAAGAAACTCATTGAAATTCTCTTTAGATGTCTACAAAAATCTACCTTAAAAGGATTTTTCAGTAATTATCCATTTTCCCATTGTAAGTGTGGTACAGGAAACTTAGTTCCTTCTGTTAGCCTTTTTCTAGTTTTGAGATTAGTCTGTGCCACTTTTTTGTTATATGATATTGATGAAGTGTCTTAACCTCATTGAAACTCAATTGTTTTATCAGTACAGTGGGCCTATAATACCTTACACAGTGTGGATGAAATAGAAATAGAAATGAGAACTCTCTAAATTGTGAAGTGCTGTTTAGCAGTAAACAAATTCAATCATATTATTCTCCTAAGAGACCAAGTGATCATCCTTATTTTTTTAATGTGTGGGAAGTGTGTCTGACAGCTCAGTATACGTTAAAAAGTGTGTATACCCATATATAAAAAACACTTCCTCTTCCCTTTTCCCCACCCCCAGAAGATCCAGGCAGCTTCTTTCTGTGAAGAGTGGGGAAGAGAGATCTCAGAATGATTCTTAAGCTTTCAGTGAAATCTATTCTTTGCCTCTCTCAATGTTTCCCACCTCCAGCTCCAGTGCAGGGGTCCAGGTCACCAAGTATCTTTCTTTTTTATCCTGTTTTTCATTTTTTTTTTTTTGTGAGGAGATCAGCCCTGTGCTAACATCTGCCAATCCTCCTCTTTTTTTGCTGAGGAAGACTGGCCCTGGGCTAACATCCGTGCCCATCTTCCTCCACTTTCTATGGGACACCGCCACAGCATGGCTTGCCAAGCAGTGCGTCAGTGCGCACCTGGGATCCGAACCGGCAAACCCCAGGCCGCCACAGCGGAGCGTGCACACTTAACCACTTGTGCCACTGGGCCGGCCCCCTGTTTTTCCTTTTTAATCAGGAATACAAACTGAAATTTGCTCTGAGTTATAGGATATTTTGCGTATGTTTTGTCTGAATATTGGAACTTGTCGTAATCAACATGATAATATTTTATCATCTAAAAACACCATACTTGTATGGGGAAAATGAGTGAAGTTTAAGCAATTTAATTTTGAGCAAATTGGAGAAATATACATTTCTCCTCAATTAATGATGGTAGTTATCAATGCTGTGTCTACCAATGTTTAAATCCTTTAACTGTGGAATTGGGAGGAATATCCTAAAATTTTAGAAGAAAGATGATGGTCAATTAACTTACAAGTTAAATGTTTGTGTAAAGCATCTTTATATCCTGTGTCAAAATATGGCTTTCATACAGAAAAGTACACAAATCATAAGTGCACAGATCATTTAATTTTCACAAAGTGCAATACGCTCATGTAACTAGCACTCGGAGCAGGAAAGAGAGCATTAATAGAACCCCAAAGGTCTCCTTCATGCTCCTTTCCAGCAATCACTCATCTAGCACCATAAATTCATTTTGCCTGTTTTTGAAACTTGTGTATAAATTAAATCATGCAGTTTGTAACTTTTTTGGGAGGGAAGAGGACCTGGGCTTAATTTGCTCAATTATTTATGTTGTATCTTATAGCAAGTTAACTCATTATATTGTTGTACAGTATACCATTGTGTGGATATACCCCAGTTTATTCATTCTTCACTTGACAGATATTTTGGGTTTCCAGTTTTGGCTATTATGAACCATAGTGCTATAGACATTATATGTGTTGTTTGCCAAAATATGTGTATATTTATGTTAGGATATATGTACAGGTGCAATTGCTGAGCCATATATGTTCAGCTTCAGTAGATGCTGCCTGTTTTCCAATTTGTACTCCTGTTAGCAGTGTATGAGAGTTTCCATTGCTGCACATTTCTTGGCACCACATAACGTTAGAACATAGTAAGTTAAGGATTCATGTTGTGATCTTTAGAGTAACTAATAAAAGAATAGCAAAAGAATATATAAGTAACAAGTTAATAGGTGGGAGAATGAAATGTAACAAGTTATAAGTTAATAGGTGGGAGAATGAAATGATAAAAACTTGGATAAATCCAGAAGGCAAGAAAAGAGTAAAACAGTTGAGTCACATAGAAAAAAATAGTAATATGATTGCTATAAACCCAGTATGTCAGTGATTACATTAAATGTAAATGGACTACATACTCTAATTAAAGGATACTGCTTCTAAGACACATATCTTAAATATAAGGGCACAGGAAGATTAATAATAAAAGGAGAGAAAAAATTATATTATGTAAGCATTAACAAAAAGAAAGCTAACGTAGCTATACTAATATCAGATAGTAGACTTTAAAGTAAAAAGGATTTTTAAAGATAAAGGACATTTTATAATTAATAAAAGGGTTGACTAGTCCAGCTCCTGGTTAAAAACCTATGTGTGATTTTTCAGGCCCAACCATATGCAATCACAAAAGCTTTACCTGGCATGCCTCATGGCGGGGAAAGGTGCCCTCCCCAAACCAGACTTGGTGCATAGCCAGTGCACTGCACTTCCTGAAGGGAGTTGCAGTCTAGACTCAGACCCCTGTAGCTAACCCTATTCTTATACATAGCTGTGTTCCCAGCCCAGGTGCTTTCATTTGGAGGCCTCTTTATCAGGAGCCTTCAGCAGAGATCTTCCTTAAGTGCCTCTGCCTAACCACCTTAGCAAGAAAAAGAGGGGAGCCTTGAAGATACTTTTTCTCTACTTTGACTCAGTACTCAGTACTTTTCCCACTCATAGTTCTTCTTCTCCCTCTCCCTCTCCTGAGCCCCTGGGTCCGCAGTACTGGAGGAACCTTTTGTTGGGGGCTCCCTCAGCAGTGAGAGATCCCCACCTCTCTGCTGATCTATCTGACCCTCCACAGCATGCCATTCCTCGGGGGAAAGTGGACCTGGAAGTGGGTGCTTTCTCTGGGGTAGCCTCTTGCTTATACTATCACAGTAAGTGATAAAAGGCTTGACTTAGTTGCTTTTTTAGCTTGTTGCTTTAATCTACTCTTCTGACACATGGCAGCTCTGCTGAGTTCCTGACAGGTTAATTCACCAGGAAGCTATAACAATTCTAAGTTTTTATGCCCCTAATAACATAGCTTCAAGATACATAAAGCAAAAACTAATAGATACTTAAAATTTGTTGAAGTATAACATACACACAGAAAAGCATGCAGGTCAAGAGAGAGTTGTTGCAAAGTGGGCATATCAGTATACTCAACATATACAACATCACCAGTAGCTCAGAAGGCTCCCTTGAGATACCTCCCACTCACTACTCCTCTCCTCTTCCCTAAAGGTCACTACTATTCTGACCTCTAATACAATAGATTAGCTTTGCCTGTTTTTAAACTCTATATAATTATCAGTATGTATTCTTTTATACTTGGCTTTTCACTAATAGTGTATTTGTTAGATATGTTTTTAAACATCTCCTGCTAAGTATTAACTTGCTATTGTCTTATCATTTCAGGTATTTTAGAAAATAATTATGAGAGCTTACGTGTACTAAATGTTGAAAGAAATGGAAATATTATTTATACCTATAAGGTATATCTATATTCTTTTTTTTTTATTGTGGTAAAATATACATAACATAAAATTTACTATTTTAACCATTTATATTCTCTTTTTACAGAATTTTATGCTATATCTTATTGAGGGGTAATGAATAAGACTTGTTGGCATTTAACCTTTAACATATGACTTTTTAATTTTTTAATTTTAATTTTTATTTTTTTGTGAGGAAGATCAGCCTTGAGCTAACATCTGCCAATCCTCCTCTTTTTGCTGAGGAAGACTGGCCCTGGGCTAACATTTGTGCCCATCTTCCTCCACTTTATATGGGATGCCGCCACAGCATGGCTTGACAAGCGGTGTGTCGGCGCGCGCCCGGGATCTGAGCCGGCGAACCCCAGGCCGCTGCAGTGGAGCACGCACACTTAACCACTTGCGCCACTGGGCCGGCCCCATGACTTTTTTATTTTGTGAGATTGAATAGGGTGATTCAAATTCAGTCTTATGAAATGTTTTCTCTTTTTAAAATAAAATAAAACCGTACACAGTGTCTGACACAGTGCTCAAATTTTTTGAATAAACAAGCAGTTCCATCTTCTAGAGGAAAAATGCCAAGTAAAAGATGTTTAAATCTAATTAATATGTTAAACTTTTATCTTTGAGAAAATATTAAATATGATTACATCATCTGTTCAGACTTAGATATGCTCAGACTTTTGAGACATTATTAAACAATATGTTTTCAATGTTAAATGTTCTAAGGAAAGAAAATTTAACTTTACTGATAACTTTACTATAGTAAGGAAACATGAAAGAATTTCACTAGCCAGTTTGCTTTGCACAGTTGTATCACTGTAGTTTTTTTATTTTCCTTAAAAAAAGTTATTTTAATTTGTGCCTATAAGTGTACTGCATTTGAGGAATTGTGTGATTCAAAAAATTTTACTTATAAGAATATCATGGACTTGTTTTAGCCACTCCCAATATCCATCATACAGTATATATTCTCTTAAAAAAATAAATGGAAGTACAAAAAGATTCGCTTTTTCACCATGCTCGGTCCTACCAGACAGGGTCCCCCAAACTCACTGAGCTGTACATTCTTAATCCATTTCACTCTTCGAGCCCATGTGACTAGCTGAAGCAGGTTCAGTCCCTTTCTGATATGCACAGCAAGCTACCTTTAGAGTGCTTATTGCTAATAGAGGTTGACTTATTGCAGGTTTGTTTTAAAACTAGTAACATCCTAACTTCATAAATAATGACGTTTAATAAACATCTAGTTAATTTTTTTTAGGATGATAAGGGAAATGTCGTCTTTGGATTGTGTGATTGCCGCACCAGACAAAATGAGGTAAAAATCACCATAAATCATAGATTACTCGTTGATGACTTTACTGCTTCTAGAATTTTCCTTCTTTCTGCCTACTACTTTTTCTAAATACAAATTCTTATTTCATTTTCTAAAAGTTTAGTTTTTGTTTCTTGCCTTCCTTGCTCTTCTCCTTTTTACCATCTCCTGGCACCGCGATCTTTTTTTTAAAAAGAAAAAAAGTGCAAGGACTCCTAAACCAAAACATCAGCTGAAGTCTCTTAGTCCTTTGAGATTTAAGCAAAATTGGCTCAGATCAATGATCCAATATCCTGCAGGAATGCGGGAAGTCCAGTGCCCTCCCCGAGATTCGTGTGCTCCCTCCCGGAAGCTTAGGACCGCGTCGCGGCCTCTGGCTCTGGCTCTGCTTCTGCTGAGCCTGCGCTTGCCTTGCTTCTCGTTACTTCTCAAAGATCTAGGGACAGGCCCCAGCCTCTTTTTCTTAATTTTTCCCCAAACCACTCACATAAGGCATTGGTTGATGTGACAGATTTGCCTATTTCTTGGGACAAATGGGAGCGAGTCATTTTGTGCAATTTACAGACATTAAGGGATTAAGAAGTCTAAAAATGTACACTGGCACAGAAGGCTTTCTAAAACACATTGTTACATGAACAAAGCAAGTTGCCAGAATAATACATTCCATTTATGTTTTTAAAAAACTTGCAATAAAACTAGGCAATATATATGCATAAATATATATTGAAAGATCTGGAAGGCTGCAGAGTAAATTACCAACATGTTTCCTCTTGGAAGGGAGTTGGGGGTGGATGAGCATAAGGGAGAGCTTGGAGTTTATGTTTGGTAGTGTTTGCATGTTTTAAACACTGAGACTGTGCTCATGTGTTATTTTATAATTAAAGGGACAAAACACTAAAAATTAAGTGCATGCATTCATGGTTCTTCTTACTTACAAGTTAGAATCCCTTAGTTAGAGCAGAGTCACAGGAAACCGAAACTTCTCACATGAATTCAGAGCCTTCTTATTAACTCAAAGTTCACTTTCTCTAATCAAGTGTTTCCTTACTTCCCAAAATTTTTCATCAACTTTTGGCCATAGGATTCTAGTGTGTTCTCAGTCCTTTTTTAGTCCTTCTTGATGCTTCTGCTGTTCACGATTTCTCTTAGCCTGCTCGCTCCTGAGATCTAAGACTTTTTATCTTTCCCTGTCCTCTGAGGTATTTTAAGAGAGTTTGCCTATTATAACTGTGATTGACTCCAGTTCCTCAATCTGCACATCACATCCTGTTTCTGCATGACTATTTTCTTTAATATTTGAGGAAACAGAATCTTGCAACATTTCAAAAAGTGAGAAAATACAGATGAAATAAAGAGAGAAGGTGACTTTGCCAATGCTCTAAGTGTGAGAGTCCTATGAGAGATGCACCTGTGACAGACTCTTAGACATGGTTAATTATATCAGAGTTTTGTAATTTGATTGAAACTTTACTTGCCTCAACAATTATAATAGCTAATATTTGAGTGCTTATTATGTGTGGTAGACATTGTAATAAGTGCTTCATATGGATCGTCTCACTTGATCCTTCTAACAATCTCAAGCGATAGATATTATGATTCCTATTTGCTGATGGGAGGAGAGAGAGGGTGAATAGCTTATCCAAAGTCACACAGCTGGCAAGTGGCAGAGTCAGGGTTTCAACCTGGGTCTAGTTTGGCTCCAAGGTCTGTGCTGTTAACCACTGTGCTCTGTTGCCTCATGGTTAAGTTTCAGTGCCAAACATGGCTTACAATAGCAGACTTTTTTCTTAAAAAATAATCTGAAGCTTCTTAATATGGATAAACCTGTTTCATTGATGATTCTTTAGTAGAATGTTTTGCCACAATGATACTTGGTAGAGCACTGAGTGGGAATTTGTTTTCATAAAGTTGTTATTTAATATGAAACTCCAAATTGAAAAATACTTTTGTTTCAATAGCATCTCTACACATTTGAGAAAGACTTGCAAGTTGTCAGTTGCTCTGTCAACAGCGAGAGAACGTTGCTTGGTAAGTTGAATTCTTTTATTCTGAGTTTCAAAGTATTGGATTTTTGCAATATTTGATTATTCTATGACAATGATTTTCTGGGAAGAGATGCTCTTGGGAGATGAGATTTGAAATAAAGAATCTGCAGAGTCTACCTACAAAAAAAAGAATGCTTTATATTTTACCTTCATCATCCACTGACAGATCCTTTGAGCCCTCACTTATTTCAGATATAAAATGGTAAACTTTAACAAGCCACTGCATGGATCATTTGCTAATGGATTATTTTTTTCTTTTTCCATTAGCTGCAAGTTTAGTTCAATCTACTAAAGAAGGAAGAAGGAATGAGCTTCAACCAGGTAATGAAATTATACTTTTTAGTGCCTATTGATAGATAAAGATTTATTGAAGTACTAAGACAAATTTCAAGCATCTTTACAAATAGCTTTATCTCAGAATGAAAAGGCAAAAGTCATGTCAAGCATGAAACAGAGTTTTTTTAAATTATTTTTTTCAAGTAAACAAGAAAGTATAGAAAATAACAAAACAGTGAAGAGCAGAAGGAGTAAGAGGCAGTTAGCACCTGTAGACTAAATAAACATTGAGAACACACTAGAACTCTATGGTCAGACTCTGGTGTAAAAGGTTGGTATTCCTTCAAGAATACCATCTTTTTCTTATATCTGTTGAACTATTGACCAATACATAAGGGATTATGAATAGTCCACCAATTATGAACAGTCCACCAATTCTAAATAAAAATCAATTCTATTCATTTACCAAGGCTCACTTCATAGTTTATTATCTATGAGATGCCGCTTCTCCCCCTTTAACATTCTATATCATCCATCTGTCCAGAACCCAACAAGTATTGAGTGCCTGCAGTGGGTCAGGCAGCGTGCACGGTGCTGGGGGTACAATGGTATGTATGCAAGAGAGGTGTGGCAGTTGCCCTCATGGTGAGCTATAGGGGCTAGTGGTGAGTCGGGGTACCCCAAGGGGCGTGTGTCCCATCTCCAAAGGGGGCAGGCCGTAAGCCCAGTGGGACCAGCTTTTCGATTTATCAAGAGAAATATAGACTTATTATTATTATTTTTTGGGGGGTGAGGAAGATTGGCCCTGAGCTAACATCAGTTGCCAATCTGTTCCTTTTTGCTTGAGGAAAATTGTCCTTGAGCTAACATCTGTGCCAGTCTTGCTCTATTTTTTTGTATGTGGGATGCCACCACAGCATGGCTTGACGAGTGGTGCATAGGTCCGCGCCAGGGATCAGAATCAGCAAATCGCGGGCCACCAAAGCGGAGTACGCAAACTTAACCACTACGCCACCAGGCAGGCCCCCAAGAGAAGTATAGACTTTTATGTAAAAATTTAATTTTTAAACGTTGGCTCAAATATTTTTTAAAAATTCTACTCAGGCGATGATAACCACCTGAGGCTGGGTCTAGCCTGTGGACTACCGTTTTCTACCTCTGGTCTAGTGGATCTGATTTTAATCTCTTACTGTTCTGATCCTGCAGTGCTTTCCATCTGTTCTGTTTATTCGGCACTTACACTCCTTCTTTTGTTAGCGTAGTTCACACTCAGATGTATTCTCCTGCAGTTGCGTGTAGTGGAAAAACCCTTTATACGTACTTTCCACGTGAGGCTTATGAGGCAGTCCTGGGCTTCCACAGAGCCAGCTTAAAGCGTCAAGGGAACCAGAGCTGAGTCTGACTGGGACCTTCTCAGGGACCTCAGCACAAGACTTTGTGGGAGATGTTGGCGGGCAGGAGGCTTCCCCTGAAATCTCATCATTTACACTAGTCATCCTTCCCTTCCCTCTTGCCCTGTTACGCTGAGAACCACAGCAGCCCTCTTCCCTTTTCTGTGCCATGTCCTCCTCTTAGCATTCTCTGCTCCCCTCAGAATTAGGTGCAAAGCTCACTTCAGAGGTGATGGAACTGAACTAGCTTAAGCAAAATAGGATCTAAGACATTGGTGTCCTAACCCTTAAAACAAGGGTCTGGGCAAAACCAGGATATGACCCTCATCTCCTGGACTAATAAACCCCTTTATCCAAGGAGAGAAAAACCTAGTTGCTTGTGTTCCTTCCAATCACGAGGCTGAGTGTCTATACAGAATCCTGAATTAGCTCCCTGTGTGTGCCTCCCAGTTCCTCTTGAGCCGTATTCCTTTTAGCTTTAGAAATTCTTTATTGTGCTGGTAAACCCAGTAGAAATTATAATCTTCACGTAATGTTTACCATGTATGCCTGATTATCATGCAGAACAGTGGCAATTATGTATATTATAAAATGTGCTTTCAGACCAACGTTACTGTAAGTTTTCTTTGATTACCACATTGAATCCTATTCAGGTATGCTTGCTCAGTCTTGAAAGTCTGATGCACCTGTAGTGAGATGATCTGATCGCATCTTTAAAAATATTAGAATGAGCATGGTTAGTTATTGTACTGGATACCTCATACTTTATACCTTCTTAGCTCGCCTTTTATGCCACCCCTGCAGTGAGAACCACCTCTGCCCAAATGTAATGTGATAGACAGTGCCTCACCTCAGCTGCTCTGCCTACTTCTTGCTTTTTGCCCAAAGCCCTTGGGAAAATTGGTTTGTACCACCTGGATGAACGGTTGGAAAGGATTCCCAATAGGGTAAGCCATGACCAGTGGGCGGCAAGGAGCTAAAGGATAAATTCTCCCCCTTTCCGCCCCTAGAGTGGATAATTCTGAGGTGTACTCCGTGTAGCTCAAGACCCAAGGTGGTGGCTAACTTGATAAAGCCCCCTGTACTGACATGCTTTTCTTCCCTGTGTCACTCTCCCCACTCCCTCACGGCTGAAGTGATCCTATTCCCTGAGATTACTTCTTGTCTTAGCTTGGATTTCCCCCAAGTAGAGTCTGAGGCAAGTATTTGAGTGCAATTAGTTTATTTGGGGTTTGATCCCGGGAAACACTATTGGAGGAGTGTTTAAACAGAGATCTGAAAGAAAGGAGGGAGCGAGTGCGTGGCTATGGGGAAAGAACATTTCTGGCAAAGCCAACTGCCAGTGGAGAGGCCCTAAGGCCAGAGTGTACTTGGTAGACTCACAGTTCAAGGATAGTGAGGAGGTCAGCGAGGCAGGAGTGGCGTGAACAAGGGGCAAGGTGGTAGGAACTGAGGCCAGAGGGAGAGGGGGGTGAGGTGCAGACAGGCATGGAGACCCGTAGGAGGCCTTTGTTCAGTTAAGGTTTCAGAAGTGATGTGACCAGAAAGCACTATGGGATCTATTATAATGTTTTGTCCTTTGAACAAATGTTTGGAAAGGCTTATTTTATCTGTCCATGAATGACCTGATAAGCCGTTTGATTATGAAATGTAGTTTGCCTGAGGGTGTTGTTTAACTCTGTTGCTTATGATGAGATTTTTCCATTGCAAACGAGGTGAACTGTAAGGTCTTTTATATGAACAAGGTGGAGTTCCTTGGTCCATACACTTTACAACACAGTTTGTTTTTACAACGTCAACAGTGCTCCTTTTTTTGGTTAATGTTTTGTTTAGAAAATAACCCTCCAGGGCCGGCCCCGTGGCTTAGCGGTTAAGTGCGTGCGCTCCGCTGCCGGCGGCCTGGGTTCGGATCCCGGGTGCGCACCGAGGCACCACTCCTCCAGCCATGCTGAGGCCGCGTCCCACATACAGCAACTAGAAGGATGTGCAGCTATGACAGACAACTATGTACTGGGGCTTAGGGGGAAAAATAAATAAATAAAATCTTAAAAAAAAAAAGAAAATAACCCTCCATAGGAAGCCAGGCCCAGCTACCCCCGACGCCCTCCCCTGTGGAGCCGCATTTTCCCCAAGGTCCAGCAGATCGCCCCTGGGCAGCGATTGGAGTGACCACTTGTGTTGGGACCCACTGCCCCTGAGACTCTCCAGAGGCTCTAGGCGCATTCGGGAAAATAATGGAGCTGTGGTTTGGTTCCAGAGCTCTCATAACCAGAGCTTCTTCGGAACCGGGCCCTACTGGACTTTCCCAGCCTTGTCACCATTTCGTAATATGTACTTTCACCTGCAGCCAACCAGGTTATTTTGCCCACTCTCCACCCTCCCCGTGCCAGGCCTATCCCCATGCCTTTTTTTTTTTTTTTTTAAATTTTTAGTCAATTTATTTAAACTAAAACCAAGAAAAAACCCAAGTAACAGTTCACCTGTTTCTCCCACCCCCCGCCCCTTGCCTCTGGCAACCACCAATCTGTTCTCTGTATCTGTGAGCTTGGTATTTTGTTTACTTGTTTAGATTCCACATATAAGAGAGCTCCTGTGGTATTCATCTTTCTCTGTGTGACGGAGGGATGTATTTCATGCCCTCGAGGTCCATTCATGTTGTCGCTTTTGATTCTGCTGTCTCTGCTTCCTGTGATGTCCCTGTCCTGCCCTTCAGTGATGCCCTCCCAGTTTCCACTGATTTCTGGATTCTCTAAATTCTTAAGATAACTTCAGGCACTTCATAGAATCATGGGATTTTATGGCTGAAAGTGATTGTAGAAATGATCTGGTTCTATAGCTTTTCATTTTATTTTTATAATAACAGGGTACTGAGGCCTAGGAAAGCTTGGTGATTTGCTGAAAAGTATATATTAGGTTAGTGGCAGAGCTTAAACCAGAACTAATGTCTCTAGGATCCTAATCCAGAGTGCTTCTTGTTACACTATGAAAGTGCATGGTATGTTATTGAGAGAAATTCCTGTTTGCACGATTACTCTTATCATTATGCTGATTATATTAGTTGAGTGTCTGGGCTGCACTAAAGATGGGAAAAATTAGTGTAGGAAGATGGTTCCTGCCCTTGAAAATCCTCCCATTTTAAAGGCAAGTGAATTTAGCTGATAGCTAGTTATCTCATTTGGGTACAAATTCACTACCAAAAAAGGCCAAATATAAGGTGATTCCTTATTTTTCCAATGAGAAGATTCCCCTGCTTGCCCCCACTGCCCCCAATTTTTTTTTCCAATTGGAATATATAAGCTTTTAGGGCAAGAGATAAAATAGTCAAATGTCATGTTGTACTACTTAATATATTAATTTTGTTATACATGCTTAAAATAACATAATAAGGAGAATTGCTTTTTTTCTCATTCTTACATTTTGCAGAACATTTCTATTCTATTTTTCCTCACAAGTATTTTTGACACCGATGTTTTTCTTATCCCTAGAGTCATATGTGAGTCCTCAAGCAGATTCCCAAAGGACCTTGCCTTTACCTCTGCCCCAGTTATTAGAAATACCACCCTTTTGCATTGGTGTATAATCCTGTCAATGGGATTTTCATCCTAAATTACAAGTACTCATTGACCAAACAACATTTGATTTTTGTTTATTCCGTTGTTGTATATTTGTGATCCAACATAATAACTCACTCACTGTCTTGCTTTTTCAGTATCTTTAAAAGGCATATTTACAGAAATATTCAGTGCTCGCAATTGTGAGGCCATATCCCAGAAATTATTTTACATTCTTTGCCTTTTTTTTTTTTTAAAATAAAGCAGTTCTGTCAGGTTACTTTCTTAAGTAGTGAAAACTGGCATTGATTCAGTTCCAGTCTGCTGTGCCATCCCCAAATTGTATATTAGTATTCAAAATAAAGTCAATGAGACAGCATCTGAGAATATTAGAGTCTTTATAGGAACTCAAATATAAGGCAACTTCTTCTTTTCTGAGGTCTAATCCTGGGGGAGGGAAATTTTTTGACCTAAATTTGGATATCTGTGGTAACCCCTTTCTAGCCTGCGTCCAAAGACTTCCTCCTAGTTGCTATCCTTGATGACCTTTGCTCACATGTGACACTGAGGAAATAAGTGGGTCTTTATCAGTGCAGCTCCACCACCATTCCTGAGGGAAGCCAAGCCCTATCCTACTAATAGGTGTTATCAACCGTAACACGTTCATGCATCAGAAATGTCTTTATATTTTCACACACCAACATTATTTGCCATTGTGCTGCAGAATTGGAGTGACACTGAAGTGACTTGTTTGTTTAGGCTTAGAAGCCAAGAGGGCGTGTGATGCTGTGCTAAAAATGACTGAGGAATGGGCAGGAACTTGTTCCTCTCTCCATGCACGTGACTTCTCCTTTATGATGTTTTCTGTGTCTATTTTGGGTTTTAAGAAATGTCAAAGTAAATTTTAAGAAAATTACTTTTCTTTGTGGAATAGCTAATATAGTAGATAGCACATTTACATTTTCAAAGTTCAGACCTTTATCGAGAAGATCATGTATGATATTCTGGTCTTCATTACCAAAAGCCTCCTTTACTTTGTAGGATCAAAGTGCTTAACTTTGTTGGTCGAAATCCACCCTGTTAACAATGTGAAGGTTCTAAAAGCAGTGGATAGCTATATCTGGGTACAGGTAAGTGAGCATGTCATTTATCACTTACCACATGAATCTAAAGGCATGAAACCTAGAGGCAATGGTGTTTGCAAAGTGCTTTCGCACACGTTATCACATTTAATCCTCAGAGCAGTCTGGTAGATGGGGATGGCTGGAAGTATCTGTTCTTCCTTTGCAAACATGGAAATCAAGACTCAAACCTAGCTCCTCTCTCTCTATTATGTGAGGGTTTGTCTGATAGTAATGTTATGTTTTGATAAAATCTTGAATATCAAAACACATTTGAGGTAAGTTTGAAAATGGTTTATTTCATGTATTCATATAGTTGACAGATTAAATATCTATGATTAAATGACTTAATCCCTGAATTTATCAACTCTGAATTGATGCAGAAGCACTGTGTATATAATGCAGATGGACTACATATGGTTAATCCTATGCCTTGCACATTCAGAATTTGTGAATTCTACTACTTGCTAAAATTTATTTGTAACCCTAAAAATCAAAACTTCATGCTGCTTTCATACTCATTTGCAGACATGTGCAAAGCAGTGAAAAACTTGTCACCTGATGCACATGTTCCCAGCTGAGGATGAACAGGATCATCCTCTGCCTCCTTGATTCAGTTCTCATACTGTAAAGAAATGTTATTTTCACAGTCTATTTAGTGCCATGTTTTTTGCATTTTGGGGCTTTTTGTTGGTGCTTTCACTGTTTAAAATGTCCCCCAAGCATAGTGCTGAAGTGCTGTCTCATGTTCCTAAGTGCAAGAAGGTACGATGTACTTTACAAAGAAAATGTGTTGTGTTAGATAAGCTTCATTCAGGCATGAGTTTATAGTGCTATTGCCTGTGAATTCAATGCTAATGAATCAACAATATATATTAAATAAGGTGTCTTTAAACAGAAACACATTAAACAAAGTTATTTATTAATTTGTTGACAAAAATGTTGTGACTAGAGGCTTGCGAGAACCTATCCTCGTATTTGCCCTAGGAGCAATGGTTCAGTGTTCAGTATACCGTGTTTGTGGTGACTTCATAGAATAGAACTACCACAGATAGCAAGAATCAACTACACATGTTTGTGCAGTGTTGCAGCATAATTTCTCGGTGTAACCTGAAGTATCTGCCTCCTCCTCGCCCCTTACTCCCAGCCTCGAGCCAATGGATCTCCCTCTTGCAATGTGTATTAGGAGAGGGGATTATCTCTCATCTGCCCTGGGTCCTCCACTGTCAGCCAATCCTTCCAGTTGTGCATTTTTGCCACCACTCCTAGCTTCACTGTGGGCCACTGCTCACTTCCAGACAGGGCCTGGCGTGGAGCTTGTAAGCTGCATTCCCCTCCCCCACGAAGCCACTCTGTTTATACTGTCATCAGTGTAGGGGTGACAGAGCACAATTCCCTTTTCTGGCCTGTTCTTTTGACTTCCTTAGCATCTCCAGTTAGGGCTGCATAGGCAATGGAGATATTATTGAAGGATTGGGGCAACTAAAGGGAATTAGAGCATAGGAAGGGAAAAAGTTTGTAAGAGTATATGGTTGCACAACATTGTAAATATATTAAAAACTACTGAATTGTATATACTTTAAAATAGTTAAAATGGTAAATTTTATGCTATGTGAATTTTATTTCAATTAAAAAAAATTAAAAGTGATGATGCGTGACTGCATCCAGAGGCTGAAGGAAAAGTCCCCACCCAAGTAAAGGAAAACGTGTATCATCTTGTGGACCCATCTCAGTTCCTAGCCCTGCTCCCTGCTCCTCATGCCTGTGCCTCTGGAGAGAGACACTCCTCTAGATTTCCATCCATGGCAGGTCCCACCTTCTCCCTCTCCCCTACCCTCTCCCCTCGAGAGAAACACCATTCACTGTCCACTGAGTTTCGTCTTGCCCTGCGGTCCGTCTCCCTTTTCTTACCAAAACATCCATGGGGATCTCCAGTAGTACATTTCGCGAAGTCTACGTGTGCAGTCTTGGCCCCCTTCACAGAGGAACTTCAGCAGGACAGTAGTGGGTGGGGTTTGGATCCCAGTCTGGTACCCTTTGAGAGTTCCCTACCAGCATGAGGTGCATCTTCCAAATAATTCCAATGGGTAATTATACACCCCTCTGCACACCTATAGTGCGTACCTTCCAATGATGAATATTATAATCAGAGTCTAGCTCCATATTTGTAAAGATAAATATTTCCCTAATATGATATAATCTATATATATTCCTACTCACAATGCAAAAAGCAAAGCAAAACAAAACGAAAAACCTTGCATGCTTTTGTAGAGCTGTGTCTGAAGCCAGTCTATTTATATTCTCAGTTCCAAACCTTGCTCTACAGATGCTCATAATGGAAAGAAAAACAACCACCACCTAAATGAGACTTTTAAAATCAGTTCTCACTGATTGCCACGCAAAGACCAGGCAAAGGTTTAGGACAGTCCAGATCACAGTCCTAAGCAAGCACGGCCTGGCCACCTCTGCAGATCCGGGGGAGGCTATATCATCTTCTGTCTAAGTCTCTCCTTATTTTGAGGCACTGAGCATTTCCTCTTCCATTATTCACGTTGTATCACTCATCTTTGCTTCTCCTCAACCCTAGTACACAGAGTATCCTGTTTTGTGTGTGCAGTTTCACAAATCAGGAGATAATAAGTTCTATATTATTTTTGTATCTGAATTCTGCATTGCTATCTATTTTATAATTTCGAGGTTATTGCTGTGAAGAATGATACATAATTAATGGTTTGTTTTTCAGTTCTAGAAGGGAAACTTGACTACAAACAGTTTTAAAAGTTGACCAGTTCTATTTCCAATTTGTCATTATGAAAAGTTAGGACACGAGGTAATATATTTTGTCAAAATTTTTCATAGTCTTTAGAGAGGCTGCTGGCTGTAAAATAGGGGCATAAAGGTTATGTTCTTTCATTATGCTTTCAAGTTTGGAGGTAAAAATGAAAATTCACCAGTGGATCTTGTCTAATAAGCTGTCTTTCGTGTTACAAAATGAAGCTGCTGATTTATGGTTACCCTTTTGATGATGGCAGAATTAAGTCACTGGAGTCGTCCCATGACCAGTTTTCCCTTGTTATCACAGCTGACGGCGTCAGGCCTTGTGTTACTGGCTGCCTGCTTTGTCCTGTGGGCTGGCACATATGGGAGAGCACAGAGAAGGAGGAGTGGGGCGGATCAAGCCTTTTCTTCCCAGTGGCATCATTCTACGCTTTGAGGCTTGTAAATCCTCCACCACATGCCGCCCTGTGACTCACTGTCCTTTCTTGGAAAGTCCCTGGTACTGTTGTGCTTTGTCTCTTGATGTGGGTCTCTGGAAGTTGTAGTGGAGAATGTGTTTACTTGGCTTTCAAATGAAATACTAGATTTAGTTGCACAGCAAATGTATTGATCACTCTTTTTTTGTGCATGTGAAATAGAACTTTCTGTATAGATGTTGTTTACATTGTTTCTGATTGGCTTCAGAATCACTTATTCCAAATAGGAAGCACCATCCCTAGAAATAGGTTACACTTCAGCCTTACTGTTTTAAATGAGTTGTGTTGGACCTGTGATCAATTTCCCCCTGGAGAACTGAGCTCCTGGCAGTGTTCCTTTTTCCTCCTTGCCCCCATCTGTGATGTGTATGTGTGTGTGTGTGAGATTTGCCTAACTATTCTGTGGTTCTCAGTCCCTTCTGTGGTGTGTAGAAGTATAGTGATCAACGCAACTTTTGCAATATTTGTATAAGAAAGGTAGTTGCTTATGATTTTGATGAATTTCCTTTCTACAGTTCCTCTACCCACATGTTGAAGGTCACCCTCTTCCAGAGAATCATCTGTTACTGATTTCAGAAGAGAAATGTAAGTGTATCTTTAGGTGGTATATGGGGCTTTCATGAAGGGCACATATCCTAGTGAAGTGTGGGGCAGGACTGAATCTTCTAGATGTCCACTCGCCAGTACCAAGGGTCCACTGACCTTTGATGTCCATTTGAGACCTAGGACTCCTGTGGGAAGGCTTTTCCCCAGCCCCCACTTGTTGTTCCCTTAGGCTCTGCTCTGTTTCCTCATCCTGGGAATAATGGGCTCCTGCGTAGATGGATTTCCAATTTTGTCACATGGTGGAATGTTTGTAGAACAGTTGTGCAGGTCATTTTTGCCTTCTTTAGTCCATCCTTCTTTAGGATGTTTGTCACAGTGGATAACCATGATATAAGGAGAGAGGCTTGGATGGAGAGAGGGGAAGGCAGTAGAAGCTAGAAGAATTCCATAGCAGAACTTGAAGACATGTACTAACTTAGTCAAATTCAGGTAGAGGCAAATAAGATTGGGACATCCTTAAATGATGTTTTCAAGTTTGGGAGGTGGGGCGGAGAAAGGACAAAATTCACTGGTGGATCTTATCTAGTAAGCTGTCTTTCAAGTTACAAGATGAAACTGCTGATTTATACTTGAAAGGACAGGCCTGAGGGTTAGGTTTGTGTTCAGTCCCTATGCTCTTGCCCGATTATCTGTCTCCTATTTTTTGTAACTAGAACCGGCAGAAGGTAAGTATGGCCGAATCTAAATTGCTTACTGAGAGAAAGGAACCATCTACCAATTGTCTTCAAGTGTTTAGAGTTCTGTTAATGTGACATTGACCCCTATAAAAATACCTCCCCCAAATATCTTGTATAGTGAGTTTTCTATCTGATATTTTCATACAAAGAAGTGTTTGGTGTTTGGAAGTTGAAGGTAAACCCTACCAAAGGAGCCCTTGTTAGCCCTGTATAAGAGTGATGGTTTAGGGGAGGCAAACACTTGTTGAGGGAACCCAAGGGAGCAGAAGGGTTAAATGCTTCATGTGTTGTTAGTGTTGAGGAGCAGAGTAAAGGCTGGACTTGAAACAGACTGTAAAGGGAGGGTGGGGAAAGGTGGGTTTTGTTTTGAACCTTTATTGTGAGATCGCTGTCTGTGATAATACTTTTCAACCAGTTGTTTAACCTGCATTGCTTTTATAAAAAATGTTCACAACTATAAAGTGAAAAAAAGTACTCATGTTTTTCATGAAGGTTAACCTATTTTTCTGTCGTTTCTTTTTTTAAAGATATTGAACAATTTCATATCCAAGTCATCCAAGAAGATGGAAATAGAGTGGTAAATATTTGAAGTTCCTTTTGCATCAGTCTTTTCCACAAAGAGCAACACTTCCAGACTGTTAAGGATCGATTAACATTATAGAAACATACCATTTTCTTTATTTGATGTCTTTCAAATTATAGACTTGCTGTTGTAACGTGTGAACTAATACAAGATATATGAAGGAGTTAATTACCTCCCTTATCTCTACCTCATCTCCCAGTCTCTGTCTCCCGAGGTAACTGATGACAGCCTGTATGACTGTTTCCACACCTTCTATCTTGCTCATATAAACATATACAAGGTTAGGTGCACATCTACAGGGATTTAGTTGTTTTTACCAAAATAGAATTGTAATACATATATTAATTTACTGCTTTTTTTTTTTGCTTTTTACTTAGTATATCAGGGGTATTTCTATAGGTTTCTAAATAAGAGATATAACTTTTTTCTCTAATTTTTATACATATATACATATAATAAATGGGATCATAATATATATATGCTGGCGTTTTATATAGTTCAATTTTCTTTTCTTTTTTTTTGCTCATCTTCCACTTCTCCCTTGCCTTTTCACCTCTAACTTTTGTTCACAACCTAGTATGTATCCTTTCGTACTTTCTTCCATACCTGTAAATCTCCCATCCTCTCCCCTGACACACCCAGGGGTTTGTTTATTATTTACTCCCTCCACACTCAACTTTGTGGAATTCCTGCAAGTCAACTGGAATAGGTCCAATTCGTTCTCTTTAGAAGTACATAATCGTCCCTGGCATGGTTGTACACAATTTTGCAACCATTCTCCCATGGGTGGACGTTCACTTGATTGCCAATTTTTTTCTTTTGTTTATTTGTTTACATTACAAATAGTCTCAGATGTCTTTATAGTTTTATGTATTTGGTGCACGTGTTTCTTTGGGCTGAATCCTCAGTGATGGATAATTGGGTTGATGGGTATATGCATTTAATAAAATTCAACAGATTTTGCCAGATTGCTTTCTAAAATCTTGTAACAATTCACAGTTTTACAAGCAAAGTATAAGAGTACCCTTTCCCTCTTTCCATACCAGTAATAGGTGTATTTGCTTTAAAAAAAAAAAAATCCAATTTGATGGATGTAAGTTGATATCATTATTATTTTAGTTTGTATTTCCCTTAATATTAGTGAGTTTGAACATCTTCTATGCTTATTGGCTATGTGAATTTGTTTTTCTGAAAATTGCTTAGTTATATCCTCATCTATTTTTCTACCAATTTGTCTTTTTCATGACAATTTGTGGGATCTTAATATATTATTGATATTAAAAATGATTTCCTTCAATATTTAAATAGTCTGCATCAAAATAGTCTTTCTTTGAAGATTTGAATTATAAAGTTATGTGAACAAAGTTGAAATGGAAAATGGCATTTATTAATTATGTATCTATGATTGAAAGCTTTAAATCAAGAGACTTGGCTGGAAAATGACAGAAAGTATGTGGCTGGAGCTCTGGGCCACCAGTGGCTAAGTGGATGGCAGGGCAAGGACAGGTCAGTGGTCAGAAAATGGTCAAACAAGAGAGGAAAGACCAAGGCAGAATCCCAAAGCCAGCACTGAGAATTTAGAGGCGAGAGTTAAATAAACAAGTCAGAGTCAGGAACTGGGAATGTGCATGGACAGAGGACTGGCTAGAACAGGGTTTGGGAGCTGTGAGAGCACTGCAGAGAGAGTGAGGGCAGGGGCACTTGTCAGCGCCCAGAAAGGATTCTGCTGGCCAAGATGGTGCAGCCTCAGCATTCCTTCCTCCGTGTGCCCCTCTGTGAGGCACTTCTGCCTTCATTCTTAAAGGCTTAGATGACATCTTCTTAAGGCAATGTGTGGTTCTATGCATTCATCACAACATCCTGCGTGATAGAGGTGGTGTTATAATTATCTCCATGTTTGCAGGGAACACAAGAACCAAGACTCACAGAGGGGAGGGACAAAACTGAGCTGTGAACCTGGGTTGCCACATTCTGATGGTCATGTTCTTGTCAGTGTATATACCTTTATCTGAGAGTTCCCAAATCAACCCTAACCTAACAAATTTCAGAAAAATGGAAGCGATGGGTTGCCATCTTGGATCTTTTTCCAGCATCACTTTCCTCTGGCCTAAATGAATTGGACCTAGGCAAGCAAGAAATAGAGGTGAATGATTCTGCATGCCCTGTGCCTTCCTTGAGTTCCAGGTTAGCCTCAGTGGAGAAATCCATGTTAGGATTAGAGAGGGTTTAGCTATAAATATGGACCATTCTGACATTCCCTTTTTTCCTCATTTTTTTTTCTACCTCAGCCTGTCTTCATTCTTTGCTTATTGTCCCAGTATAGATTACTTTTTCTTTTCTTTTTTTTTTTTTTTTTTAAAGGTTTTATTTATTTATTTTTTCCCCCAAAGCCCCAGTAGATAGTCGTATGTCATAGCTGCACATCCTTCTAGTTGCTGTATGTGGGACTCAGCCTCAGGATGGACGGAGAAGTGGTGCCTCGGTGCGCGCCCGGGATCCGAACCCGGGCCGCCAGCATCAGAGCGCGCGCACTTAACCACCAAGCCACGGGGCCGGCCCTAGATTACTTTTTCTTGATAAGCATTTTGAGGAAAGTGAATTCTTAATTCCTTGTATTACACTTGTCATTTCCTTGGCAATTTACTCTTGCATACATTATTTCATTTTCCTCCTTTTGACAAGCGTTCCTTGAGTACTATTATGTGCTAGAAACAATCAAGACACTGAGAATATAAAGGTGTTATAGATGAGTGCATACTCATTGGGGTAGACTTATAATATAATTAGAATGTAACTGTAATAGAAGCATGCCAAAGCACCATAGGATTGCAGAACTTTGCCTTCATCTTGAGGAGGTGAGGGAAGACTTTGTACAGAAGGCAATGCCTAAGCTGGGTCTTGAAGGATGTGTAGTTAAGTGTTGCTGAGAGATGGGCAGGATCATCATTCTCATTGTGGAAGACATAAAGGTAAGAAGCATGACCAAAGCCACATGAATATTTTATGGCAGATCTGGGATCATTGCCCAGTACTCACCACTCCCAGGCCTGAGTTTTTCCTTGGCATCACAGCCTCTTTCTCTGGTAGTGAAGCCTTCTTGTCTGCAGATCCCTGAGCAGGTTACATCCAGAACAGGAAGCTCTGAATCTTCTATTAGCCCAGCTGTTGATTTGTGGTAGGTGTGGCCTTGCCTTCAACAGCCCCAGCCTGTCTGTCAAACTAGGAACAAGAATAATATAGTTTATTATAGAGTGTTTGGGAAGAGCAAGTAATGAAATGATGCCTTACATCTATTCTGGAAAGACTTTCCATGTGTATGTGTTAGGGGTAGGGAACTGCTAAAAATAAACTATGGAAATATTTACATGTGTTATAAAGATAGAGTATACAAAATAACAATGAAATCCAGATATATTCTTTTTTAAAATAGTTATTAATGTTTAAAATCTCTTTGCCTCTTTAGGTGATTAAAAATTCTGGCCATCTCCCAAAAGAGAGAGTAGCCGAGGATTTTGTTTGGGCTCAGTGGGATATGTCAGAGCAGAGATTATACTACATTGACCTGAAGGTAAAAACTAGTCCACTGGCCCTCCTTTTTATATGGACATTTTAATTTCGACATTATCATTATTGTAATTTATTAATTACTGCATTTTCATTCATGGGGGCAGTCAACGTTACCCAGTCAACGAAAGGTTATTATAAGCCTTTAATAAACGAAAGTTTATTAAAAATAGCAAAAAGGTTTTCATTACTGTTTGTTTCTTGGCTGCTTCCTTTTCTCTTTTCTCTCTTTTTTTTTTACTAGAGTTTTTGTTGATTTTTTGGTAATTTGTCATTTATTGTTTTCTCTTTTAGAAATCAAGGAGTATCTTAAAATGCATCCAGTTTTATGCTGATGAGAACTTTAACTTAATGGTAAGTCTAGAGAAGGATTGGGCTGCAGGAAATTTTATAACACTTTGCCCGCTTTTAAAGAGAATTATTATCATAAACAGCATTTTAGCATTCTTGATGTTGTGTTAGTCACTTGTATGAGCAAGTACAATAGTTCTTGCCATCTCAAGGCTTCAACTCTACAACAAATGTTATTTATATAGGTGATTAGGAGAGCACACACTGGAAATGTCTGCTCACTGAATACCTCACATTAAAGAAATGAGGCTAAGAGTGAGGATTAGTAGAGATAATAGGTGTGGTCTATAGCAGATGACTGTAAGTACTCACAAGTCATTTGATCCAAAAGGACTCATGGGGATGGTGAACTTGAGTATAAGGTAAAAAGTCAATGAGAGGGTACAGTTTATTTAAATCTAGCATCACTCCTAGAAAAGCTATTTGGAATGCTAGCCTTATGGTGAAAAGTCATAAATATCTGTGATGGACAGAACGTCATTATTCTTCCTGACTAGAATTAACATTGCTGTCTAATACAGAGTGATATACCATTACAAGAATTTCATTTACTCCTCCTGCCCTTTTTTTTTGATTCACTCATTCTCCTTCTGAAGACAGCCAGTCCTTCCCTCTTTACATGGTCATCTGTGTCTTGTAAAAGTCTACTTCCAATTGGTTTATTATATAACCTGTTTATACTGAAATATAACAGGTTATATTATATAACCTGTTAACACTTTGCCTCAAATCTGAGGCAAAGTTTGCTGAGTATTAGCCCTTTAAGAAATAAATATACATCAAGCTTGTGATTGTATGTAAACTCCAGAATATTCCCAATGGACTTTCTGTGCTGTGGATTTGGGGGATAACCTCTGAAAAGAATGATGGCTAAACGGGTTTTTCATTAGGCAAGCACAGCGCTGTCAGGCTTGCTCTGGTTTCAGAACTATCATCACTTAATTAATGTCATTCTCTTGTTTGTTTTCTCCTGATTTTTTGACAGTTTGAAGCACCCTTGGACATATTATTAAATGACTCAGGATTTAAGTGAGTGATTCATAGATTATTATTAATTTTCATAGAAACTCCATGGGCAGAATGATATTTATACTTAATCTATAATTTATACCTGATGGTGTGCAGATAAAAGGACAATTTGATATTCCGTCTGTGTATGTGCGTGTGCACGCATAATCTTGTATATTGCCATTCTCTGTAGGGAATATAAACAACTTGATCAAGCACCAGCACAGGGTTTTCTCATGTAAAGTCAATCATATTGATTTTCTTAGCCATGTATTTCTGTAGGGCATCTCCATTTATTTTGGTCTATGGAGGTGTTCTTCTCTCTGTGATTCAATAAAAGGATTCGATGGGTCAGAGCTACATTCAGAATCAAGCATCAAAACCCTCTCCTTGTTGCCATCAAAGATGATGCTGCAGGTCAATCCATTTGTAGCTCAGCTGAGTCTATTGCTTTACTTTTTTTCTGCTTTTCTTTTTACGAGAAAGGTGAGATTTTTTTCCCCAGACTATTTTACATGTAGTAAAAGCATGAAGCACTTTTGAAAAAATAGACACAAGGACATCAGTGCACAGAAGAAATGAAAGTGAATTGGAGTAATGATAATCCTAAGCTGTTATATATTTCACTAGCTTTATTTCATCATATAAGAATATTCAATTGTGCTTATTTTGAAGCATAGTGTATGCATATAGTATATTAAATCAGAAAAAAGTTATAAAAATACAAGTTGAAAGTAATATATATTTTTTTCTATTGCCAAGACCATACTATTTATGTACCACATATTTTTTTTTAATTACTGTTTTACAGAAATTTTTAACAAAAGAAACATGTTATCTACTTAAATTTCTCAGGAACATGTCTCTACTTCTGTAGGTATATTATAGTGGTTGCTATGCTTTGTAAGGGAACTTATTTTTAAATGCATTCACAATTTCTTATCCTTTATGTTCTTAGTCTTGTCAACTTTGGATGTGCTGATCTTCAAAACCAAGAGAAATTATCCAAACACCTAACCCTGTGCGTTTTTACCAACCATACAGGTAGAACCTGGGTTGTATTTATCAATCTATTAATTATATTTGAGTTCTATACAAAATTTAATCATTGTTTAGCTATATGGATCCCGAAAATAAATTATAATAGAGCCACATTCTTCCATAAGTGATCATATGGATATTTATATACTAAATTATCTTCTCCACTATAATTTTATACATCTGTCTGTATAAAAGAAGCCACAGTCAGCAGAGTTATTGTTCTAATAGTTATTATTTGTATTATTGTTCTAAGAGGGGGAATGGAGTCATATTTAATCAATGTGTATTTTCTCACCTGCTCCATCTTTTAACAAATGGTGTACAATGATGGGGATGCTTTTTGTGTCAGGTTTACTGATGTGTTTGCATTCTAAACCTATGCACTTGTCTGCTTTAAGAGCCATATTGTAACCTACTGAGCTAACAATCAAAGCTTGACATAAAGTTATTAGTGTGTAATATTCTGTTTCATAACACTTGTTTATTGTAGATAGAGAAAATAGAGAGGGAAAAATAATATTTAAAAATGAGAGAAGAAGAGTATGGTTATATTCAATGAATCTGGTGAAAAAACTGCTCATTAACCTTAATAATCGTCTAAATAATCGGCTCTAATAATTAAATCTAATAGCTGTTTTTAATATCCCAACTTGAGTGGACAGTTACCACTTGAGTTAAGTAGCACTTGGACTAAAATTGTATTCCTCTCGAGCCAAATTATGTGGTATTCATTAAGCCAACATTTATGGAGCACTTACTGTGTGCTAGGTATTGGGATCCAATGATAAGCAAAACTGACCTAATTTTTATTAGTATAGACGTTACTGTTTGTTGTGGATTTTAGACATTAAATAAGTGCACACATAGTGTTTAAATAGAATCATGATAAACATTATGAATGAGAATTACAGGAAGACTTGAGAGCATATAATGGAGGTTTAATGGAAGATGCTAGTATCTTCAAATATTTTCTAGTTCAGCTAGTCCATCCCTGTTTCTGCCTCCTTCCAAAACATCCTGTCCTAGTCTGTCTTTCCTGAAAATTGCTCCCTTTCCCACCTTACTCCTTCATAGTCCATGCCATTTTTTCCTGTCCATCCGGGTCTCCCTCAACCACATAAGTCCCTCCATAAATCAGTCTTGGGGAGTTTAGGGAAGGAAGTGATATTTCACTTGAGACTTGAAGGATGTATATGAACTAAGAACAGTGTGACTGAAGTAGAGAGAGCAAGGCGGAGGGGGGTGGGAGAGTATTGTGGAGAGAAAGCTGAGGAGGTAGGCAGGGACCACATTATGTAGGGCCTGTAGACCATGGAAATATTTTAGATTTTATCCTAAGAGTCATACTGTCATTAAAGGGCTTGTTTTTTTCTTATTATGACGTTTTGTTTTTGAGGATGCTCAAGTATACGGAAAAGTTTAAGAATAGAATGAACATCCATGTACCTTTTACTTAATCATATCATTTACAATATTTACTTTATCATTCTCCACATATATAGATGCTATTTTCTTCATTTTGACCAAACCATTCAAAAATAGGTTGCAGACATCCTGACACTTGACCACTAAATAAGTCAGCATGTGTCTCCTTAGGTTAAGGATGCTCTTTTACATAACTTCAGTTCCATTATCACTGAAAGAAATGAATTATATTAATCAGTAAACTATTTCATATTCAAATTTCAATGATTGTTTAAAAAAAGTCCTGTATGTGTATATGTATATAAATGAATTAATACATGTATATATATAACTTTTAAAGTCAGGATCCCATCAAAATTTATGCATTATATTTGGTTGTTATGTCTTCTTAGACTCCTTTAATGTAGACCAATTCCCACCTCCTATCCTCTGCCTTTTTTTTTTTTCTTTTCACAACGTTGACATTTTGAAGAGTCCAGGCCATTTGCCTTGTGGAATGTCCCTCATTCTGGATTTGTCTAATTGTTTCCTTGTGGAAGTATTTAACTTCTTCCTCTATCCTCTACATTTCCTGTAGATTAGATGTTAGACCTAAAGGCATTGTTAGACATAGGTTAAACATTTTTGGTAAGAATACTTCATGGGTGATGTTGTGAGCTTTATTTGCACCAGATCAGGAGGCATATAATGTCAAGACATCCTACTATTTGTGATGCTAAGTTTTGTCATTTGGTTATGTGGTAACCACTGTCTGTCTCCCTTGTAAAGGGACATTTTAACCTTTACATTAGTAATCTGAGGTGATACTTTGGCATCATGTAACTATCCTAATCCCCAACAACTTTTCACCAGGAGGTTTTAGGATCCATTGATTCTCTTTCACTGAAGTGTTTTAAGCAGGCAGTGACGTGATTAGATGTGTATTTTTAAAAGATCACTGTGGCTGCTGTGTGAAGAATGGGGTGGGGAAGGCAAGAGAAAAAGTGAGGAGATGAGCAGTTAGGATGAGGTTGTAGGCGTATGTTTGAGATGAGGCTGGCTTGAACACAATGGGCAGTAGAGGTGGAGAGAACTAGGTGGGTTTGAGATGCATTTTGGAGATGGAACTGAGAAGACTTGCTATAAATTAGATGGAGAGGAATGGTCCTCAGGTTTCTGGGATAAGTAAATGGGTGAACAGTAGTGCCATTTACTGAGGTATAGTGGTTTTGGTGGGGCTTAGAAAGGGAGATTATGAGTTTTGCTTTGGACAGGTTAACTAAGAGATCCGGAGCTTAGAAGAGGGGTCAGGACTGGAGATGAATAGATGTGGAAGTTGTTAGACTGTAGCTGGCATTTGAAGCCATGGGAGGGATATAGGGTCAAAAGGGAAGAAGTTTAGAAATAAGATCTGGGGACAAAAATATATAAAGGTTAGGTGGAACATCCAAAGAAAAAGGAAAAAGAATGTCTGGAGAGAGAGGAGGAAAGCAAGTGTGGTATTATAGCAGCCAAAGACAGAGGGGGTTCCCAAAGGAGAGAGTTGGTCTCTGTTAGCAGGTGGTAAGAGGTGGAGTCCGTTGGGTCTAGCACTGTGAAGGTTACTGTGAGTAGTTTGTGTTGGGTGACTGAGGTGAAATCTTGATTGTGCTGGGTTAGTGGCAGGTGAGAGTTGAAAAAATCGTAGCAGCATGTGTAGACATGAGAAATGTGGCAGCAGCTGGGAGGGGAAGTGGGATTTAGGGAACATTATTGTTGAAGATGGTAGAGACTGCAGTATGTTTGAATGCTTACGGGATATTTAGTGGCAAGAGAAAAGATGACAATATACAGCAGAGAGGAATAATTGGTAGAGTGAATTTGCTTAGAAGGTGGGATGTAATGGGATCCAGAGCTCATGTGGAGGGACCAGGGTAGGTTCTTCCCTAGGCCTTCACTTTAAATCCATTGGATATAAACGATCATTTTAGGCTGTTATTCTTTTTTTTTTTTTTTTTTTTTGGTGAGGAGATCAGCCCTGTGCTAACATCTGCCAATCCTCCTCTTATTTTTGCTGAGGAAGACTGGCCCTGGGCTAACATCCGTGCCCATCTTCCTCCACTTTATATGGGACGCCGCCACAGCATGGCTTGCCAAACGGTCCGTCGGTGCGCCTGGGATCCAAACCAGCAAACCCCGGGCCGCCGCAGCGGAGCGCGCGCACTTAACCATTTGCGCCACCAGGCCGGCCCCAAGGCTGTTATTCTATGAAGCTTTTATTCCTTTTCATTTTATTCCCATAGGAATTTCTCATGAATGGTAGCAGCTATAACTTATACATGGGCTATCTGTGACATATTTTATTTAATAAAATGTTAGGTTTATCTGGCATGAGATGTGAAAGAGTCTGTGTTTTCCTTTCTCAGCAATGGCTGAGAGAGTAGAAAATGAGCTTTGCTCCTCACAGTCAGCTCTGAAATAGAAAAAATAAGCCTGTTTCAAATGGGGTGCTTCCAGATTTAAGATGAAACAAGCCAGAGAAGCAACCTTTTAGTTTATGACTAAGTTGTCAGTTAATGTATTTCCCAAATTACTTTTCAAAAATCATTTCTTACCTTTGTGGTAAAACAAACAAAAACCTACTTCAGCAAAGTAGGAATGGAGAAGAGAGCAAATAGTCTAATTCCTGTGTGGCTCCCTCTATAATAGAGAGCTTAATTTTTCACTTGTGTGGAGACCAGAAAACATGGCTTGTGAAAGGAATGCTGATAGACTCAGGGCCTTATACAAACTCAGCTCATTTCAAGTGTTTACATTAATGATGATGCTATAATAATATTTGACGTTCAGTTGTCACATATTGGTCATTGGGGCTACTTGTCCTTTCAGCATTACTTCTTACATTCTTGAAAGCATCTTTGTCCTGAGTTTTCCTGCACCACTACCTCCAAGGAATCAGAGATCTCTTGATGGGGGTGCTCATGAGCTGGTGGGCAAAAGTGCTGCTGCTGTTGTCAGGTTGCTTATGTATTAAGATTATGAGTTCATATAGGTTTTTCTAAGTCTTTTACCGTAGGAGGGTAAATCAGAGACTTCCTAAAGCATCAAAGAAGATATTCTCATTCCTTCCATGTCTGATAGTCAACCCTGAAGCTGCGCTTAGAGCAGTCTTGTGTGTTCTAAGTCAGTGGCTGTAATTCTTTCTTGTGCACCACCTACTGGGAGGTAGGGAGGGGTGAAAAGTGTAAATTCTTCCTGTTCATATAATTGCAAGGGCTGTCCTTCATCAATTCCCAGAATTAGGCTTGTGTTTTAGCATTTTATAGAGCTTTTCACAATGAGATAATTTCCCTTGGAAAACTTTGTCCATAATAGCTTTCATTGTCCACATGGTTTCCTGAAGGCTAGCCAACTTTGAGATGTTATCTTCACCATTGATGAATATTTATTAAACATCTCTGGATACACCATTAAGAACATGCTTTCTTTTTTTAAAATGTGACTTCCCTCAACTTGTAAATAGCAGCAAAATTATTCTGGAATAATAATAATAGCAGCTAACCTTTATAGCCAGATATAACTTCTTTGCCAGAGCTTTATGCATATTATCTCATTTAATTCTCACATAAGAGCCATATGAAGTAGGTTCTATATATTTTTTTATTTACAGATGAGGAAACTGAGGCTTAGAGAATTTAATTAATTTACCTTAGGCAAATTTAAAAATACTGATGACTGGGTCTCACCCCCAGGGATTCTGATTTAGTTGATCTAAAGTGGAGCCTGGGTGTCTGTGAGCCCAGGTAAGTTTAATGTACTATCAGGGTTGAGAACCACTGCTCCAGAGCTGTGTTATCCAGTACGGTAGCCACTAGCCACATGTGGCTATTTACATTTAAGGTAATTAAAGTTGAATAAAATTAAAAAGGAGTTCCTCATCATACTAGCCACATTTTAAGTGCTCAGTAGCCACATGTGGCTAGTAGCTACCATATTGGGCAGCACAGATATAGAAGGTTTCCATTATCAAAGACAATTCTATGGATGCGACAGCTTTTCAGAGCCTGTGGACCCTCCATTTCACATTGCTATGTCTTTTTTTTTTTTTTTTTTCTTCCTTTGGGATTAGGAGTGGGAACTCAGCCGTAATCTAACTATTTGGAAATATTTGCTTATGAGACCTGAATATGGCTCTCAGTGTATGTAATTAGGTACATTAACTTTCTTCAAAACAAGGGAAATGATAACCTCCATTCTTTATATCGTGGTGTGCAGAGGACTTTGCTAGAATGGAGGTTATGATCTCCCTTATATTGTCGACATTTCATGTTCATTCCTCAGGATAGATTCCTGAAAGAAGAATTACTGGGTCAACAAGTATGAATATATTTTAATTTTATTTTTTTTGCTGAGGAAGCTTCGCCCTGAGCTGATATCTGTTGCCAACCTTCCTCTTTTTGCTTGAGGACGATTCACCCTGAGCTAACATCTGTGCCAGTCTTTCTCTATTTTGTATATCGGTTGCTGCTGCAGCGTGGTTGACGAGTTGTGTAGGTCCAAGCCTGGGATCTGAACCCGGGATCCCAGGCCGCCAAAGTGGAGTGTGCCGCACTTAACCACTATGCAACGGGGCCAGTCCCAAGTATGAATATATTTAATCCTCTGCTAAACTATTTTTCAGAGAGGTTGTACTAGTTCACTCTTCCACTACTATTATTTGAGAATGTTCTTCCTACTGCTCCCTTGACAGAATTGATTATCATTCTAAAAACTTTGCTAATTTGAAAGGAAAAATATGGTGCCTTGTTTTAATTTTAATTTTTTTTTTCCTAGAGAGGCTGAAGTTTTAACATGCTTGCTAACAATTTCTTTCTCCTTGTGATCATAGAACATAAAAGAACAGGATAAACCAGTAGTTTTTTGCTGGTAGTATGTTAACTTTATGAAAGTGGTCAAAGTGGTACATGGGACTTTTGTAATTCTTATAATTATTATTTTTGTTTACACTTTAGTATAACATTACTTTTGTTCGTAGTGCGTTTGCTGTAATTTTAAAGAAAAGTTTTTATCATTATGTGTTCGGTAACCATAACACTAATTTTACATCTTAAAGAAATGTTACTATTTTTATCAAAGCTATTTTTTATTTGTTTAAGATATTGCAATAAAATGTACTTCTAACAATATATTGCAGTCTTAAATGTCATCAAAAATAGTCACAAATGATAAATACTATAACTGAATGCTTATAAATGTTCTGAAATAGCCTTCTTAGGGAAAATGGTCTTTTTTCCCTACCATGATTCTTTGATAAAGGAACTATGGAGTATCATAGAGGAAATATTATGGTTCACTGATTCACACAGCTGGTTAAATATTAGCTCCGGGACTAGAACCCAGGTTTCAAGACTCTTGTTGAGTTCCTTTCCACCCCAGAAATCTCCTATTTCAGATAATCACATAAAGGTTAGCATTAGAATAGAAGTATCAATTTAAGCATAATGCCCTCATTTGTAGGTCGCTGACGGACTTATCTAGTCTATCTGGATAGCAACAGCTGCTGGAGATGATGGACAGTTTTACACACTGAAGGAGGTGGGAAGGCTGAGAGTGTTCTGGAGTGATGGGATAAGTGAAGGCAGTCAGGGCCATCTGGAAAGGCCACTCTATGATAGGAGCTCTCCTATGCCCTTGGGCCAAGACCCTCAATGACCCAGATACGGGTGTGTGTGGGCTCACACACCACACTTGCTCTTATTGCCTTAGTTTGCCTTCCATTCTAGATAAGCAAGAAGACTGGAAACTCCCTGTAAAGAGGAGACACGTTTTTGGTAAACTGAGATCTGTAGCTGGAAGGCAAGTTGGATAAGAGGGCAGCGCAGTCCATGTGTATTAGGAGAATCTCACGAGGTTTTGGACACTTCTCTAGACGCCCATGATTTCACGTACAGGAGTGGGTCCCTATTCATTTTCCTGCCTTTCAGTAGTCTGCCCCACAAGGCATTGCCTATAGTGGGCGCTGAGTCATTGTTGAATTGAAATTTCTTAGCAGCTTGTTAATAGGCCATTTCTAGAATTTGGGAGTAACCTATGAGGTAAGTTAACGGAGGACATCTAAAGGAATAGAAGTAAGGTTAAGTGGCTTAGGAAACTGTTCGTCTGTGATTCTTTTAAGCTCTACTAAATACCTTCTTACTTCTAGGAAGTCTGTGTGTATGTTACAGCCCGAAGTTTGACTCTTGGGAACAAATCACATATTCAGTGTTTTACTTTCATAAAGGTAATTTTCATTTATTCTTATGTTTTACTTTTACATAGTCACTTTTTCCAAATAGTAGCAAATTAGATAAATTTCCAAGTCTTATTACCTTGCAATAAATTATATCAGCACATTCTATACCTGTATACCATTATATAATACACATTTCCTGCAGAAATTCACTACTGATGAATATTAAGTTACCTGATTATTTTTATATATTATATATTTTTTATTCTGACCTATATCTTTTTCTAGGTCTGTAGACCAATCCTAATGGATGTATTTGCCCAAAGTGTGTGTGTTTGCTTTTTATTATTACTAATTGGAAAGTATCAATAGATTTAACTTACAAAGTTACCTAAGGTTTTAGTTAAAAGCTTCCATGATCTCAGATCTTAACAGGTCTTAGACCTAATATATATTTATTTCATTTAACACCTCTGTGGCCTGAAACATTGATATGTCAGCAGTCAGCCTGGGGAGCCAGGAGTAAAGTGCGCAACCTTTTCCACTTCTGTAGTCGGTCATAGTGTGCTCTTTAGTAGTTTTAGTCTGAACCATGCTGAGGAGTATTTATTTTGCTTGTTTAGTTCCTTAAAGTATTTATGTAGTACATACTGTGGGTAGAGTTAAAATTTTTTAAATACAGATTTTTTTCAAAATTTAAAAAATTTTATGCCAGCCCACACTGGAGTTTATTATTTTGCAGGAGTGCCTAGTATTACCTTCAGAAGTTAGAGATCAAGGTTAAGAAGTTTAATAACTTACTCAATAACGAAGAAACTAAAAGTAGCTTCAGAACTAGACATATACAGACGTGTCACTTAATGGGGGGGATACGTTCTGAGAGATACTTGTTAGGTGATTTTATCGTTGTGTGAACATCATAGAGTGCCTTTACACATACCTAGATGGGATGACCTACTACACACCTAGGCTATATGGTACTAATCTTATGGGACCACCGTTGTATATGCAGTCCGTCATTGACCAAAACGTCATGTGGCACATGACTGTATACATGCTTTAACAGTATAAGTTTGATATTTTGTGGAACGTTTCCACACATTTTTCTAATGATTAATGATTAAAACCAGTAAATAAAACTTTTCTGTAGATTAAGAGTTAGAAAAGTGGAGAGTGAAGCCCAATACACTGAGTTTAGTAGACAGTCTAATACCCTTTCGAACTCAAAGTGGGATTCCTAAGTGACTCAGAGAAGTCTCAGAGGGTCTGATGACTGCAAGAGAGTGCCAGTGAGCCTTGAGGCCTGAGGGCCAACGAGCCACCTGGTGTCCTCCATCTCTTGGATCCTTAAGTAGATTCCTTCGGATCCTTCCCTCCCAGCACAACCTACATTTTAAGGTCTAAGATTATATGTAAACCCAGAACAGCTACTGGATTGTGACTGCATTCAGGTGATCCACCTTCAGTGCTGGATTTTGGAGAATGATGGGGAACCATTAAATCCAGGAGTCAGAAGACACTTGCTTTATCAGTTTCACAGTTAGTCAATGTTGAGAGTGTTACATAGAGTCACTGCCTTGAGTGGAAGTCCAGCTCTCTGTTTCTTAACATGCTTTTTCTGGCTTCGTGTTCCCTCTCCACAGGGTACAGCAAGACCTTCACTGCTGCTCTTGAGAGTGCTGACTCATACGTGACGAAGGGCATTACTTTTCTCAACCTTGGTGAGTGCGAGAGAGATGCATCTCTCTGTTCTGACCCTTCCTTCCAGTACATGTTGTGCCTAAGCCTTCTATATCTCGTTTTCTTTTCTCTACACCCCATTTTCTCATGCCTCTTTGGGACTTGGATTGTGGTGACAATCACTGACCTTTTTAAAGCCTGATAGGAGAACGTTTTTTCTGGAAACAACCCTTCCGCAACTCCATCAGCCTTTTTGGTGGGGTGGACGCATCTCCCTTTTTAGAGAATCTACACTGTGAGCTTTCTTATGTTTTTAGTTTAGCAACCCTAAAAGCCATTTGTTAGTATAAAAATGATGACTGTGAAAAGATGTTCTCAAAAAGCCTATGAGAAATATACATCATGTTATCCCTTGATTCTAGAGAGGACAAGGCATTTGGGAAATTGTCCATCTCTGCTGCTAATTGCTAAAAGCCTCCAAGTCCCGTAAATGATTTATGGATCATCTTGAGTGAGTTGTTTTCTGCTGAGTAAATATGGTAAAGGGCACTTGAGTATTATTAAGGGAGTCTATGTGGAAGCATATTAAGGGAGTCTATAAAGAAGAAAATAAAGAAGGGGTTTATTGTACCTCTCTACTGAAAGCTGCTTGTCTATGCTAATTGGGATGTGAGGCACAAACAGGTTAGTACAAGACTAAATAACAGAATGGTTGCTTGCCTACATATGGGAAGTGGCACAATATTTAAAAAAGAAAAGCTACTATCATGACAAAGGTTTAGGAAGGTGTGATGTGAGGGAACTGGGCAAAGTGAGAATTGAAGTGGTGAGAAAGTCCATGAAAAGATTTTTATTTTGAATGATACTATGGGTGGGGTGAAATATCTTATGCTAAGTGGGCCAGTATGTGGCACATTTTAACATGAGCTCTGAACCGGTGGGAAATTGCCTTAGAGAGGCCTGGTTCTACTGCTTCCTGTGGTAGGAGAGATAAATATAAGGTCTCCTGGGTCTGGGACTTGATTCTTATCAGCAATGCTATATTAGCATGCCATCTCAAGAGTGATGTGGGAAACTTTCCACTAAAAAAACTTAGCATTTTGTGAGGTCAGAGGTATCCTTCCTTTTTTTGCCCCTGGGAATGACTCCTAGAAAGGGCAGGCGTGATTTAATCTATGGTCTTCTGAGCGTGGGGAGGGCAGAAATACTAGAGCTTTGTAAAAATAGGCTTTCTTACGTAAGTCATCTTTCTTTCTTAAACACATTTTATTTTATAGGCACAAAATTGTACCCAAGATTAAAAGTGTTTGGGAGGTAATTTTTATGACAACAATGTTGCTGTTTTGGGTGATGTATTTTTTGTTGTTAATTGCATGCAGTTTCCCTGAACTGTCACCCTATTAAAGGGGCTTATATTGATTGAAATGTTAAAGAATGGAATTTTTTGGAAATTTTTCATGAACTCAAAGCACCTCTATATAAGAAAGTTATGTTTATAAATAAAAAACTACCATTTTTTAAAAATGCTATATGCTGTTTTACTGAAGTTATCTTGATCCTTACAACAATTCTGCTTGGTAATGTTATCCCCATTTTACAGATAGTGAAACTGAGGCTCAGAAAGGCTGAACTGTGTGCCCAGGCTTTGTTTAGTGTCTCTTATCAGGGGCACTATATTAGTTTCTTTTTGCTGCTGTAATAAATCACTACAAATTTAGGGCCTAAAACAACATAAGCATTCTCTTACTGTTCTGGAGGTCAGAATTCTAAAATGAGTCTTGAGGGGCTAAAATCAAGCTGTGGGCAGACATGGTTCCTTCTGGAGATTCCAAGGAAGAATGCGTTCTTTGCTCCCTCCAGCATCTAGAGGCTAGCATTTCTTGGCTTGTGACCACGTTACTCCAATCTCTTTCTTCATCATATATGTCTTCTCTTCTGTTGTCAGATCGCCCTCTTATAAAAACATCTGTGATTACATTATCCACCTGGATAATCCAGGATGCTCTCCCCATCTCAAGATCCTTAATCACATCTGCAAGGTCCCTATACCACTTAAGATGACATATTCCCAGGCTCTGGAAATTAGCATATGAACATCTTTGGAGGCCATCATTCAGCCTACCACAGGTACTATTGACATTTTTGGTGAGACAAAAATTCTTTGTGTGAAAGCGTCGTGCACATTGAGGGATTTAACATCCTTGGAGCCCACTCACCAAATGGCAGTAGGAATCCCACTTCCACCCCAAAGATTGTGACAACCCTCAAACACCCTCTTATATTTCCAGATGCCTCCTCTCCTAGGAACATAGTACCAGCTGGTTAAGTGGTAGGGCTAGGAGTTAACCTAAGTCATTTGATGCCCAAACCCTTTCCACTGTGCCCTACTATATCACTATTCGTGTTTTTTTACTTAAGTGTTGCCATAATAATATTATTGCAACCATTTGTGCTAAGCACTTTAACATCATTTAATCCACGGTGACTGAAAGGACACTTATAAGTCAACTAGTTACAGTTTTACATCCTCTTTCCTTTGCACAGAATGCCTTCTATGCAAATGATTAGCATATATTTCTTTGCTTCTTAGGAAAGAAAGAGTGCAATTGGCTCACTTATAATCTAAGTGTTTCATCTGTATGAAATTCATCACTATCGTGTGAATTTCTATTTTTCTAAGATCCTAGAAAAATTATTGGTAAAGGCTACTTCCACTCTCCCATTCTCCAGAAACCTGTTTTTACACCTTGGCTCGATCTGTGTACAAATGTTCTTGGTACAAAAATATCTCGTGCAGGGACCGTGAATGTGTGAATCCTAGGCAGCTAGCTATGCAAGGAAATAAATGAGTACTTCACAAAGTGTCAGAGTGCCTGCAGAGATTGTTTGGATGACTGTCAGTTTCAAGGTTCTCTAAACAGAATGATGATGATAATAGTGATGGTAATGACTGCGATGATGACAGTGAGTGGGGGAACTAAATTTTAGTGCTTCCCCAAACTGCAAAAACTATGAGGAAAATTCCCATTATAAGATATTCCCAGCCTTTCAGATTAAGGAGTAATTCATGTTGCTTAATATTTTTTATTCTAATTTGCTCTCAGAGATCATTTAGATTCATATAAAGCCACAATTCACTTAGAAACAAAACTACAGATTAAGTTAAGATAACTATGGCTAAATGTCCGAAGAAAATTAGCCACAGATAGAAACAAATGAGATCTGGCTGTAAGATGAAATGTACTGGCGTCAGACAGCTTATGAGTATATTAGTCAAAACTTTTGTGTTTTAAGACATTCAGGAGAGAGTAGGGATACTGTGAAGTTCTGGGCTTTGTCTGCACCTGTACGGCTCTTACCACATGTGGACGACTTAAATCTTTCTCTTCTACAGACTACTATGTGGCTGTTTACTTACCTGGTCATTTCCTTCATCTACTTAGCATTCAACATCCAGACCTGATCTGCCACAGTCTGTTTCTGTCAGGTATGGTTGTACTTTTTCCCTCATGAGCATGGTCCGTTTGAGTTTGTTTTGACTTTAATATTTATGTTTGGGTGCGAGGGGGTTCCTTTATTTACTGATCTACATTTTTTTTTTTTTTCCAGGAAACACTGAAGTGGTTGATATGCTACCCCACAGTCCTTTACAGTCACTGTCGGGGTCGCTGGTACTGGATTGGTGTTCTGGAAAGCTCTATCGGGCACTCCTCAACCAGTCATATTTACTACAGTTCCTGTGGAACACCCGGTTGGACTGTGAGAAGATGGCCGTGTTGCACTGCGTGCTTTCGTGTGGCCGAGACTCGCGGTTTCTGGAAGCCAAGGTGGGAATGTAGTTTTAGCTTAAAAACTGGCAAAAAGACAACACAAAATGTATATATTTAGTGGCTGAAATGAACAGAAGTTATTTCTATTTGGTAACAATTAATTGAGGTTTGTGGTCTCCATCCTGACTTGAACATATTCTTCTCTTGTGCTCTTTTTTTATTTTATGGCTCCTAACCAGACCTCGGACTGTGAGGGTGTGTCTGTTCTTTTGACTCCTCTCTTTTCCATATTGTGAATAAATGTTAGCTATATCAGTAACATTCCCAGGAAGTGCTCAGTAGCAAATAGTGAGTTTCTCAAATCTACCTTTTCTCCTGGTCAGTATTTGGTCTATATCATCCAAAGGACTAAAATGTGGTGGCATATATTTATTACATTTTAAATAAAGATAGCTTTACATTTATATTTTTATGGTATATTGTAGTTTATGAAGCACTTGCACACATTTTGTCATGTAATTTTACAGCTCTTCTCTGAAGTCAGAGAAACCTCCCTATTAGACTTGATTGGGACCAATGGGTCATTGGTTAATCGAAAAAAAGACGTCTTAAACATTTTATTTTAACCTAAGACATACAAATGTACATTCACCCATCTTGCGATGTAGATTAAGGCCCTTTCTTTGTATATTAGCTAATTGGAGTTCAAAATCATTTTTCTTATACAAAACCTCTAGTAAGGTGTTGTCTCTGACTTCCTGGTACTTTCTTTTCCTTTTTTTTTCCCCTAAGGCGATCAATAATTTAAAGAACCTTTCAAAGCCACCTGTGTATATTGGGCAATGTTTTCTCAGTCTTTTATAGCTGTCTCACCTACACCTAGTTTTTTAGTATTTTAGAGACATGCCTTTGAGTCTGTCCAAAGCATCCAGGTTTTTTTTTTTTTTTTTGGTGAGGAGGATTGGCCCTGAGCTAACATCTGTGCCAATTTTCTTCTGTTTTGTATGTGGGACCCTGCCACAGCATGGCCTGATGAGCAGTGTGTAGATCCGTGCCTGGGATCCAAACCTGCGATCCCCAGGCCACCGAAGCAGAGCACGAGAACTTAACCACTACACAACCAGGCCGGCCCCCAAAGCATCTGGCTTTTGTTGACCCAGCAACACTTTTTTTTGCATCTGTATTTCACTTGTTTTTGTGATATATTATTAAATTACCTAATTGTGAAAATAAGTACAACTAGCATGAATAGGTTTGGAAGTAAAAACAACTTACTAATAGGAGCAGAATGTGAGCCTGCTCTATGGCTAGGCAAGCCCTTGAGTATCCGTCAATTCTAAGGTGGGGAAGGAGGCAGTGGTGGGGGAGGGGGGGTGCTGCATTCCTCCAGCAGGTGAGGATGGTTATGGAGATTGATTGAGAGGGCTGTTGATATAACAGAGATTATCCCTCCCTGGGGAGGACAGTACAGTGATGCTCACAAAGGTGAAATGGTGTGACAGTGTTTCCTCTAATGACTAAGCTGGAATTCAAACCCAGGTCTGCTGCCTCCCAGCTCGGTGGTTTGGTTTGTTTCCTCCTGTATCCCACGGCTCTTCAGCCTGGTGCTTTGCTATAATATGGCCTCCTCTAGCAAGAACAAATGAACATTGGGTGGAGGAAGGCTTATCTGGATCCCAGCCAAGGGCATTTATTAAAAAGATGTGTGAAAAGGACCTCATTTATAATGCTGTTTTGTCTACACAGTCTTGTGTCATGTATCTTGAAGATAGTGTAGAAGTGAGTGTATATTTAGGCAATTCCAAAATAGTTATAGAATGAAAAAGATTCACATATATTTTGTACTTCTTTGGTGGTGAGGGAAGGGTGCGGATTTAAATACTGACAAAATTGTCTACTTTTTTAAGATTATTCAATGGATTTCTGAGACCATCTCCTCCTGCCATTCATTTGACCTCATTCAGGAGTTTATAATTGGTAGGTGTTGCTGATGCTGCATGTTAAGTTGAATCCTTGACCTTTTTGCTTCAAGGAAAGCAGTAAATTGATAATGCCTCAATCTGTCAAGATGCTGGTTAGGGCCTTTTTTTTACTCTATTGCAGTCAGCAGCTAATTAAATTTCATTCTCTTGTGGTTTTGTGAGAAGCTGTGGCTGTTCAGAGACTCATGAGAAAAAAAGATATGATCTTGGTTCTATAACCTTATTAGTGAATTTTTCAGTAAAATGTAACTTTCTTAGCTTAGTTTTATGTTGGCTGTTTCTCTGCAAAGTAGTATAATGTCATTTCAATAGATAAAGTGCCAAATAATTTTTTTTGAAATTATTTTCATAGTAAAAAGCGGAACCTGAACATCTTAATCAGTAGTAGATAGAACCATAATGGTTAGCTTTTTGAGGATGTTTTGGTGAATTACAGCGTCTACTGCCTTATTTATCTTATTAAATCATGTCTTTTTTTTTTTTTCCTCGCAAAAATCTACTCAGCTTCTTCTTATTGGAGCATATATCCAGAGACAAGTAACATCGACAAACTTTTGCCATATTCCTCAGTGCTGACTTGGAATACAGTAAGTTAACACTTTGTATTCCTTATGTAATTAAATTGACTCACAGATGTGGGTCAGCTGTAGGACATTCCTGTCACAATAACCGAGGTTGTGATTTCATTTCTGTTTTGACTGATAAGGAACTGAGTTGAAGTTTTCTGGCAGAAAAATGATAGTGAATCCTTGCTGTTGGCCAAAGGTACTCATATAAAACAGTAGAACCGAAGGAGAAGGTACAGGATATGTGTTAGTCCTCCTACCACCAAGCAAAACTAGGCCTCTTTCATCTTCAAGTGGTATTTTTATTTCTTTAGTGACTAGAGTAGATTAAAATATTTCTTAGGTTTTTATAAATGAGAAACGGCTGGACCACTGCTGTTATTCTGAGCTGTTCTATTTATTTAGTAGATTAGCACCTTCATGACTCTTTTTCCCAGCCTTATAAAGAAAATCTGTAATAACTCAGGAGCTTCAAGATCAGTTCAGGTCAGTAATCTTAAGCAAAATCCTCTGTTCAGCCTTTTCTTCCTGTTGGTCTGGACTCCCTCCTTTTCAACTGGGAAGTGCTAAACTAGAACATTGTGCATTTTCTCTTGAACATGGTGCAGTAAACTGAGCTGTGTTAGATCAGAAAGTGGAAACCATGTACAGGCTGCCCCTGGAAAAGGTTCTGCCTCTTCGTTCATATTTAGATGTTAGAACTACGTGCCTAGTCCTGAGGCAGAGGCTTGTATCAAAAAGACATTTAGAAAAATAAATTCAATTCAGGTAACACAGATATAGGAAAATATGTACTAGGATAAATTGTGACACTTCCCATTTTGTATTTATATTGTCTAAATACAGTCCTTAAAAAAGACATAGTAGGTGTGTTTAATTTCTAGATTTTTGGTATGCACAGTGGTAGTGTTTTCCTCAAGGCCCTTTCTTCTTGTCTTTTACTGTTGGAGTTATTAAACTCACATGCCTCACTGTAGAATTATCTGGGAAAGACCTGAGCTTGTTCCTTCTCCAGGCCCTCGCTTTTGTCTCTAAGAACCCTTGTGAATGTACGTGCAGTCTCTGTGGTAATGTGGCAGGAAGTTTGCAGGTTAGACCACGTGGAGTCAGGAAGTGCACGTCTCAGCTTCCTCCGCTCACCACCCAGTGCTCTGGGGTCCTGCCCCATGTGCAGTGTCTGGAAGGGAGGAGCAGTACCTCTAGGTCCCAGGGTTGTGTTGAAAGATGGAGCATGTGTTAATGGGGTGTCGTGTGAGAGTATCATCCTGACAGGCACCTCTTCACTTTTGCATTTCTCATGACTCTGTGGGGCAGCGAAGCTGTTGGGGACACACAGAGAGATGTCAGGAAGTCCTACGAGAAGTACAATATAAAAAACCCAAAGTGGTAACCGCCTATGTGCTGAGTCTATCTCAGGGCTTACCGCACTGCTTTAAAGCTCTTGCGGTTGGAGTAGGTTACCTTAAAGGTCTCTTCTAATCCTCAACTTCTAGGAGTCTGTGCTTAGCTTTAGCGATGATGTAAATCATTTACTTTTCCTGTCTTGAATCTGCAAATCCTCTTAATGCTACACCCCTAATAAACACTTGCCACAATAGAAAATGTGAATTTTGTACTTCTGTGTGGAGGCAGATTATTTCCGTAAATAACTGAATTGGATTTTTTCAGATACTAGAAAATATGGTGCTCTTACACATTGATAATCCCGAATTATGCTGTGCAAACAATTAGCCTGTTATTCCTATTTTAAGATGCTCTTCATAACCGAAAGCTGTAGTGAAATTTTACTGCTTTTTTGAAGTGTCTTCTGTTGCTGAGTGTAGTGATAAGTGACGCACACAGTAGCCTTCTTATCACAGGCTTTTTACTGTCACAGTGGAGAACTCAGTTGCTTGAATGTTCTAGGAATTTATTTCTCCATTGCTGCAATGCCCTTTTTCACAGGAATATTGTATAGCAGTAAAATCCAGGATATTTAAGTTCTAAACAAATATCAGATTTTATTTCTACCTGACACCTTCTAAATTATTTTCTCATGTATTATTTACTTTAAATTTTTGTTTTAATGCTCACTCGTTCACAGATTGTTGTATTTGGACTTCCTGATATGAAGTGTACACCTTTCCCATTTGCCATGGTGATCATACTGCATTAGCTCTTTATGGGGATCTCTTATTTCTGAAATTATAGTGAGAGATGAGGTGCAGAAAAATTTTCCACTAAAGTCATACAAGAATCCCATTAATCTTGGTTTCTTCTAGTGAGGCAGGGCCAACTGTAATATATTTAACCGAAACAGAAGAAGAGGCAGGAAGGAGTACGAAAAAATAGAATGTATCCCCCTTGTTAATACACTTGATGGTGCAAATGGAAATGTGTAAACAATACACTATTTGCTCTGTATTGCTTTATAATAGTCTCATCCTTTCCTTTAGAGACACTGTCAACTATTATAATCATAACTTCAAAGAGTATTTCCCTTCCCAAGGCAAGATAGGCTGTATTCACTGTTATTTATAAACCCCAAGTTTTATTTAAAGTAGAGGTTAGCTAACTGGAAGCTGCCCTCAGCTTCTGTCTGTGCAGAAAACACTTCCTGAAGGCTTGAGCTAGTGGTAGTTGATATGTTAAGCAGTTGTGTGTATGTTTTTCCCACCATAGGAAATTCCTGGAATAACCCTTGTGACGGAAGAGATTGCACTGCCTCTAATGAAGGTGAGTCCCTTAGAGTAAGAGACAAAGGCACAGACGTGCATGGCTTCCTTGCTGGCCTCCACACTGGCCTGGAGTTAAACCTCGGCTGCCCCGAATATTGTGATGGTTCCAAAAGGGATTATAAACTGTCAGGGAGGATGGGGTAAGGGGTACACTTAGTTCTCTAGAAAATCCTTCCTAAGTGGTTGAGTAGTCACTGAGATGATACTACGGCGATTCTTAGGAATGCCTTTGAAGAGGGAAGTTTTCTAAAGATAGAGAGTTACAGGGCTCAATGTAAACCATATAGAACTAGTACTTTCTACTGCACCTCAAACCAGTCAGTACTGGAAGATTTCTTGTAAATTATCTGCAGAGGGCCTGGGAGCTGTTTTTCACTTCATTTGAGCTGTCCCCCTCCCCCCCCCCCAAAACACACAGACACACAGAGAATCTTGAAACCATTAAGTGACCTGGGCTGGGATTATCTTATTTCCTTCTGGTTCTAAGAACAGCTTTCTGTTTCTCAAGTGACCAGTGTTGGTGCTCAGTATAGAGACCTGCAGACCTCCTTCCTGCCCACTATGCGTGGCTGTTAGTGTCTTTCTGTAGTCCCGTGGTTTCTGAAGACACTCTGAGGACAACAGGGAGAACGGGGTGGGGGAGTGAGGAGAAGAGAGTGTGTATGTAGTTGCAAACTGGGGAGTATTTTAGCACCGTTGCCTTGAAGCTGTTTGCTGTTTTTGGCGTTGCCGCCTGTTCATTATAGACTGGTGTGTACTGGGAAATCGCAGCTTCTGACAGCAGCAGCTCAGTGTGCTGCTGCTTTTTGTTTACATTAGCTTCTTTGGATCCACCAAGGGCAGGCCAGGCCTGGGCAGCGGGAGGAAAGCTGTGGATGCTTGAGGTCTCATGATGCATGAAGAGGGGACTGATGAGAGAGGCTGACTGGATTGGGGTTCGTGGTTCTGGTTTTGGTCCTCAGAAGGGTGCTTTGAGGAGAGACTGACAAGCGATGTTTCTAGACGGGAGCGTGAGACCACTGTGACGCTCTACAGAGGTGGGAAGATGAAGGAAACAGAAAGGTTTGATTAACAGTTTAAAATGTTCTTTTTCAGAGCCTCTATCCTTTATTTTAGTGTTTCTGCTTCTACCACTCGTCCTGCCAAACCCATAGTGTGTTTAATGGACAAACAACAAACTAGTGAAGAAAAACTTAAAAAGAAAGAAATGTCAGGGGCGGCCCCGTGGCTTAGCGGTTAAGTGCGCGCGCTCCACTGCTGGCGGCCTTGGTTCGGATCCCGGGCGTGCACCGACACACCGCTTCTCCGGCCATGCTGAGGCCGCGTCCCACATACAGCAACTAGAAGGATGTGCAGCTATGACAAACAACTATCTACTGGGGCTTTGGGGGGGAAAAAAAATAAATAAATAAAATCTTTAAAAAAAAAAAAAGAAGGAAATGTCAACCACAGTTCTACAGTTCCTGTCCATATCACTGTCTTTCCCCCCCATTCCCTCTCGGTGTTTGTCGTAGGTATGCATATTTTACCCAACAGTAAGGGCCATCTAGAGGTACTTGATAAAGATTACCAATTACAATATATCGTAAGCATTTTTCATTGTTGCTACATAAACTTCATAATTATGATTTCTAATGATGCCATAGGATTTTACTGGGTTGCTGTGACTTAATTTACTTAATCATTCTTCTGTTTTGGGACATTTGATTTGTCCCCAGCTCTCATTTAAAAAGAAAAATTTGCTATTACAAATAATGTTGTAGCAATTATTTTTATACAGACAGTTTTTCTTTGGATTTATTCCCCTAAAGTTAAATGCCCGGGAATATTATGGGGTGAAAGGCTATGACAATTTTTATAGCCTTTGATTCTTATTGCCAAATTCATATTCAGAAAAAGTTGTGATGCTTTATACTGTTACAAGGGATTTATGGGTTTATCTGTTTTACTGTAACCTTATCACCATTCTGCATTTTTGTTTAAAAAATTAAGTATAAAAGAGTGAAGAGAAGATTCCCTTAAACTTTTACCCTTTGGCTTATTCTAGGAATACGATTTGGCTTTGCTGAAGAACAGAGTAGCTTATGTTTGCACTGTCTGGCTTTTTTTTTTTTTTCTGTTTGTGTGTAAGTGTGTGTAAAACGACGTTTTTTTATATTGTCCATGTTTTTTTTCTCCTTTGAGGTTCACTTTGCCTTCTCCTCCCATTTTTCTCCTCTCTCCTAATTCTCTTTTGCATTTGGCCCTGCAGATGTTTGTTTCCTGTTACCCGCTCCCAAACATGCCTGGGAGCTCTTTGGCGACTCCTCTATGCCAGTAGGAAGGGTTACATAGGACAGGTTTGAGCTGTAGATCTCTTCACAGTCCTCTCCACACAGACACGATTCCTCAGGGAAGGCAGAGGTGTATCACTGGGCTCAGGAGAAGACGGCACAGGAGTTGGTTTGCCCAGTTCCTGTACTTCCCACCCCAATCACTCAGCACAGGAGACTCTAATCAGTACCTTGCAGTTCACCGGACACCTGGCCCTGATAATCTCTCCTTTGTTTCTCCATCTGTGCTTGCATAGTACCCCTCACTATAAGCTGCTGCCATTGACCTACTTCTTCTACTCCAAGTCCCAGCTTAATTATATTGCGTAGGACCTGGTTGCAGCGGCACATCCCACCCTCTGCACCTCCCTCTCCAGCCCCAGTTATGTGGCTGTACTGTCATGCTTACCTGGTAGGAGCTGGCTCTAAGCACCTATGACCTGAAGCACAAGTTACCTTTTGAATGCATGCTTGCTACCAGACTTCCCACAAGCTCCAAGGGACCCCTATTATTCTGACCACACTTGCTTCCATTCTCCTTGTTAGAAGAGAATGGTTTGTAAAATGGTTTCCAAAAGAAGTTTTAAAACTTAAACAAGAAGTATATTGAAACAAGGTCCTTGCCTTAAAAGGAATGTCATCAAGAGTGACTTTCCAAAGAATGATTTGATCCCTTCTCAAAACGTGGTTCTCTCTAGGGAGGTGGCGACTTTTGTACAAGGTTAAAAATTACCCTTGATTTTATAGTTAGAAGAGAGACTATTAAAACTGTCCAACCACAGGAAGCATGTAAGGATTTAGAAAAAATAGAAACAATAACTTACTTGAATATAAAGATAAAAGTTGAATGAATGTGCTACAAATGGTGAAGTGGAGTTTTTTTAATCAAAGTATTTTTTAAGCCAGACATCTTTAGTTTCGTTTTATAAAATAAGGAAGCCTTTTATTTAATTGTTTATTTAGGGATTATTAACTACTTGATGCAGAGACTAAGAAGGCCAGAAAGACTAAAAGCCCCTTCCCACTTATGGCCACTTGGAAGTGAGGATGTTACTGCCACTGTCTGTCAGGGGTCTGAATGCCCCTGAGCAATTGGGAAAAGCAGAGTTGACACCTGGGCGGCTCTCCATTCAGAGACGTGTTTGTTTAATTATGCTTCTTCACTTAAAAAATGTTTAAAAAAATATTGTTTTAATTGGGCAGAGCTATAATTAATTGCTTAGTGAAACACAAAAGACACTTGTTTCCAATACAGACAACCACCATCACTTAAATAAAAGGTTAGAGATCCAGAGTATCAACTCAACCACAATGTAATAGCTTACAATTTTAAAAAATTAGAATTGTTGCCTTGACAACAATGTAGCATTACCAGAAATGACAGTTGGTTATGTGGGAAATATTAATTGATTTTCCAAAGTTCAGTTTGTACGTATGTTATATGGTGATATAACTAGACATATGTATTTGGTCTTCATCCATGGTTCCTGGCACAGGGGTCCTAGAAACCTTGTAATTTCCTAAGTGATAAGAGCTGTAGGGACATCTTTTGTTCTAATATTTAGTGTTTGTTCCCAGTTCCTGAAATAGCTCCAGAGTACAGAGGTGAAAAGAATGTCTTTTGTTATTCATAACAAGCTCCTTTCAACCACACCTGAGTTTATGTTAATGAGGTGACTTTTGGAAAGCACCTAAGGATTGGGGCTGGTTGCCAGGAGAACCAACTATGTGATTAAAGGGTTGGAACTTTCAGCCCCCTCCCCCACCAGGGGGGAGTGGCTGGAGATTAAGTTCAGTCACCAATGGCCAATGATTTAATCAATCATGCCTGTGTAATGGAGCCTCCTTAAAGAACCCTAACTGAAGGGGTTTGAAGAGCTTCTGGGTTTGATGAACACGTGGAGGTGCAAGGAGGGTGGTGTGCCTGGAGAGGGCATGGGAGCTCCAAGCCCCTTCCTGCATGCTTGCCCTACGCATCTCTTCCATCTGGTTGTTCCTGAGTTGTATCCTTTTATAATAATCCAGTATATAACTGTTTTCCTGAGTTCTGTGAACCACTGTAGCAAATTATGAAACTCCAGGAGGGGATCCTGGGAACCTCCAGTTTATAGGCGGTCAGTCAGAGGCATAGGTGACAACCCAGACTTGTGATTGGCATCTGAAGAGGGAGGTGGTCTTGTAGGACTGAGCCTCTGATGTGTGGGATCTGATGGTATTTCCAGGTAGATGGTGCCAGAACTGAGTTAAATTGTAGGACACCTACTTGGTGCCAGAGAGTTGATGGATATGGGGGAAAAAAACCCACACACTTGGTGACCAGAACTGAAGTATTCTGTGAGTAGACTGTTGTAGAGAAAAAACAAGAGTTTTTCTTATACAACATATTTTCTGGGACAGTGAGTTATGGCAAGTTCAATTAATACTGTAAAACATAATGTTATGGTGCTACAAAGAAACATTACTTGTTAGAAGCAGAGCACCAGGCTGGTAAATTCATTCCTGTCATATCTGTAGAAATGGAGGTGACTTCAGTTTGCTTCCCAGATGGTGAAATTGAGGAACAGACCCAGGATCACGGATTCCTGGTTTTGTTTCTCTCCCACCAGCCACTAGGCTGTGCTGCTCACCTTCATTGTTTTGGTTGGAGACGTTTAATTCTTAAGGCAGAGAAGAGGGAAATATCTTA